TCGATAAGATTGATAACTGACTTTACACAACCCATCCCTACTAAATTTGAAATGAATTGTCAAACTAATCTGAATTATTTAGACACACTATAGCTCGTTTTTTACACGGGCATGAATGTTAAATCAACATCCACTTAATATTTCTCTCGGCGATCACTTAGCGATGACGTAGCTTTTAAATGATGAAATTTTTTTAATAAATGAGCAGTTTGTGAGTTATTTCAATACATAAAAAAAAAATCAAAAAATACAAATCTTTCGTTTTTAGAATAATAGTATAAATATAGATTTAAAATATGATATTAATCATTTAATTCTTTAAGCTACCTCTGTGTATATGTGGTTTTTAGTGTAAGATTATGTTGTTATACATGTTCTTCGGCAATGCAAACCCGTGGTAAAAAATAAGTAGCCGAAGTGATGTAAGGCCATGCGAACGAACTCGCCATTGAAAGTGAAAGGCGGTCTACTCGTACTCAACGTATATTTACAATGGATTGTTTGCAATAATCGTTTACATTGTCGCTTTTGTATTTATGTTTACGCCACATTGTAGATAAAGACATCAATGTACAATGAAAATTAAAATATTTGGATAGCAGCATTTTTTTGTTGTAGTTTTTATAATTATGTAGAATTTTATATGACCATGTATGAGATACTAGCTGTTCCCGTGCGGCTTCACTCGCATGAAATTACAGAAACTTTATTTTATTGTTTACATTTGTCAAATTCTCAATTGCAAATGTCAAAATACCAAATTACCTTACTATGGCAATCTTGCTTCCTTGATGTTGGCAGCAAATAATGGTCTCTTTCCCACATTAGGGTTTTTATGCAAAACATTTACCAACTAAGTTTAATGGCGTGAAAATATATAGCCTAAAGCGTGATGTAGGTGAAGGGCTTTTTATTAAAAAAGGAATTATTCAGAAATATGCTGTGATTGCTGACATCTTAGGCAACAAAGAAGTGTGTGTTTACGCTTTATTATAATAGTATAGATTTTATCTAGATCAAGTCTAACCTTATTCAGCCTAAACCAATTGTCTAGTTTCATATTTGTTTGTTAGATTGGAAATTCCGAAGTTATTCTTATAATAGACAATAATCGCTAATAAACTAATGTATGAATTTTACGAACACTAGATGTTTCCATGCAGCTTCATCCGCATGAAATTATAAATACTTTATTATATTGTTTACATTTGTGAACTATCAAAAGTTTAACGCATAAATGACAACCTTGCTTCCTTTATCTTTTGTAGTTTATGGTTCATTTTCCACATGAAGGTTTTATCCAATTTCATTACCCCTAAGTTTAATAACGTGAAAATATATAGCTTAAAGCGTATCGTAAGTGTAGGGCTTTTTAAAAAAAGAATTATTCAAAAATATGCTGTGATTTCTAATATCTTACACCACAAAGCAGTGCGTGTTTACGCTTTATTATATTAGTATAGAGTATAGATAAAGTACTGCATAGCTCTCACGAATCTATCTATACTATTATAATAAAGCGTAAACACACACTTCTTTGTTGCCTAAGATGTCAGCAATTACAACATGTTTTTGAATATTTCTTTTTTTAATAAAACGCCTTACACTTGCGTCACGCTTTAGGCTATATATTTTAACGCCATTAAACTTAGGGGGTAAATATTTTGGATAAAAACCCCAATGTGGGAAAGAGACCATAAGTTGCTGCCAACATCAAGGAAGCTAGGTTGTCATCATGTTATGTCATATTGACATTTGTAATTGATAATTTGACAGTAAAATAAAGTTTATAAAATTTCATGCGGATGAAGCCGCACGAGATCAGCTAGTGAAATAATAAACGCGTATAACAGTTAAGCAAATAGTAAGTAATTAAATACGCTTCACATCGTAGTTTGAAATTGTACACATCTGTGTTGTATTGTTTACTTAACAACTTTGAACTGGGGACCCTTTAATTTGACGTCAGCGTGGCAATGAATCTTGACATTTAATACACACACATTTACCCAAACCTACATACAACATACATAGTATAGCGAAAAGCAACGCTTGTATGAAAGTTAGGCGTTAAATCAAGTTTTGATGGTTTGTGTTTAGTTAATTTAATTTATGCCAAACTTACTCAATTGTAAATACAATATTGCTGTTATCATAAGAGAGGTCGTTTTAAGGTTAAACGATTTTAGTAAGTGATTATATTGGTTTGATGCAGCAGTCGTTTTGCTATTTTAGCGAAATGTGATCGCATGCTGGTTTATACCTTATAATATTACGAAAAAACGTACTACTAAGTGCTTCTATAAACTATACATACATGTAACAAAATCGGAGTGTCTGTAATATCAAAATAAAAATTCCAGATTCTGGGAAGATGATGTATTTGCGTTGCTGATAACGAAAATCGCATCAAAATTATTTGTCTGTGTGTCTGTCGGTCCGCAAGCCGCGTTTGTTCCCGGAAATCTCCAAAACGGCTATGCCGATTTTGACCGGACTTTCACTGATGGCTAGCTGAAATAGACGGGCATATTATAGGATTTTTATGTTAACATTGCGTGGCCGAAGTCGTGGGCAACAGCTCATCATCACCGGCTCACTATACGTCCCCACCGAGGGGCTCGAAGCCTACCCTAAGTAGGGAGTGACTAGGCCATAGACAACCACACTGACCCAGTGCGGGTTGGTTGACTTCACACATATCTTTGAATTTCTTCGCCGATATGTGCAGGTTGCATCACGATGTTTTCCTTCACCGTAAGAAAATTCGAAAAACGAAAATCACATTGGTACATGACGGGATTCGAACCCAAGACCTGTAGATTATAAGTCAAGAGTTTAAACCACTATGCCACCGGCGCTCTGCAACGCTGGGCAACAGCTAGTAGGCATTAAAGGATCAATGTTTCTTGAAAGTTATTTAGTATTAAATAAACTTTAGCTATGCTATAGCGAAGAATTCATCAATGAATATTGTTTATATTATTTGATGGATGGCATATTTTGTTGGAAAACACCTGCTCGTGTTTTCATAACTTATGTATAACTTTGTATCTTTTTCTTAGCTAATATAAAACAATATGTGCTTATTTTTCAACTTATATTCCTACTTTTCTATACATATCTAATGTTTGAAAAATTCAGAGCTACTTTTTTTTACTTGCTAACCTTTTTACCGAAACCGTACAAAGGAATTAACACTGTTTGGCAGCAATTACGCTTATTAATTTGCGAGCATTGTATAATTTAGATTTAATTTACCAGCGATTTTGTTCACGTCATTGCACTACCAATTGCACTGCCTATTATTATCTATATCTATACTTATATGATAAAGCGTAAACACACACTACTTTGTGGTCTAGGATTTCAGTAATCGCAGCATATTTTTGAACAATTATTTCTATAATAAAAAACCCCTATACTGAAGACACGCTGCCAACCTCAAGGAAGCAAGGTTGCCATTTATGCATTTGAATTTTGACATTAGACAAATGTAAAGAATAGAATAAAGTTATAATAATTAAATACGGATGAAGCCGCACGAGAACAGCTAGTTTTGCTAATAAATTTCAATACAATAATTTGTCATCGATGCTCAAAATGCGTTTATGAATAGCTGAATTGAAAACCTACGCTTTAATGGAAATTTAATAGCATTGTAATTGTGTTGTAATGCGTTAATATTTTCAAATGTATTACAAACTATTCAAATTAAATTCAGTAGTTACATTTACTGTATTCAATTATATTTCATTTAATGGCAACACTATACAATTGAACTATGGCGTCTCTTATGTTAATATCACCTCTACAAAGTTTAGATGTTACTAAACGATTTGACTCCTCCAAGTATTTTGTTCTTATGGCTAAAGTACTGTGTGCCATTTATGAATGTTTTATTTTATGGAATACTATTTCACACACGAAAAGTAGTTCTGATAAACTTCGGAACCGAATCGATATCGAAGCAAAGATAAATGATATAAAGCCAATGAACTCGCTATACAAAACCGAATTTATGCAAAGTCCTTGCTCTTTATTCTTAAACTTTACAGTTATAGTACAAATCGTCGCTGGTATTCAATACCCTTCTATCCATCTTAATAATTATTTAAATAGCATAGGTTAAGTAGAGCAAAGCTTGGTTAAGTTGTTAGCATAAGTTTACCTTACGACTTGAATACAATTAAATATACTGCGAGGTAAATTGATTTGGCAAACATCAAATGGGAACTTAGTTGGGTAAAGTTATCCAGTGCATGCTGGGTAATTTAGTTTGGTCGAAGTCAATAGCTCGCTGGAATTCGACACGCCTCATAGTTCCGTATAACATAATTTAGACGAAGATATCAAAGTTTCGTTCCATAACTTCCAACTGTCTAAACAATCATACAAAAACAATTATGATCGCTATCATTCGCTTAAAAAAATAATTAAAAGACCACAAAACCATAAGAAATTTCAAACTTCCGTCGATGAGTCAAAAGTTAATTTCATAATCATATTTACTTCATTGTTTTCCTTAATTTATTCATTTTTGACATACTTATTGTTCACTACGTTAATGGAAAACAATAGCTTTATTGAAAAGTTAAGATATAATCTATCGTTTGCAGCAATTCGTGCCAACTTAATGATGTAACTACACGATGGATGTTTTAAGAAATATTACATACATTTGACACTTAAACATTGCAAATATCAATTATCAGTAACAAATAGTCGTGTACACGCAATGTCTTTGTTGCGTAGTATTGCAGTGCCATAGATATTCGGACAAATGAACATTCAAGTAATATATGCGCAATATCGTATAGTTAATAATTCCAGTCTCCAATATAGGCAATAATTTAGCATACAGACTACGCAAGGATGCAGTATCTAACAACTGTTAGTTTAAATTGCTTAAAGTTATTATAAAGTTATTACAAAAGGTATGGCACCAATAGTAGTAATTACAAGAACAAATTTTCAACAATTTTTTTTACTCATTTCAGAAAATGAAGTTGATCTTCCTCTTCGTGGTGCTGGTCACCAGTAGTATATCGCAAGGGGCGGTGGACGTTGAAAAAACAGTAAAACAAGTTGAAAAAATATTAAAAACAAACACATTACTACCGAGATTAACACGAGATGAAATATTGCAACTATTAAATGATTTAAGAGATGAAGATGCGAAAAACACGATATCGCTTAATAACATAGGAAACGAAGAAATTAAAAACCAAGAAAGTACAACAATACAGACGCAGGTGTCAAATACAACTGCTCCACCATCAACAACAACTAGTAGTGTGGAAAGTACAACTAAAAGTAGCACTAAACTAGCAGTAGTCCTCCCATATACTCCTCGAGATGGATCATCGTTACAAGAATTGTATACAAGACCACCACGTGTTGAAATAGTACCAGAACCTAAAGTAACAAAGAGACCAGCAACAAATCCAAAAACAAAAGAAAACTCCAAACCAAACAATGTAAATGACATCTTCAAACAAGACTTTCCAGCTGAATTACAAGCATTTCTTAATGCGCATGGTTTAGAAGGTAAACCGGGACAGGACAACTTTTTATTACCTCTAGATGGTTTTAAGCCTTTACCACCCCCAGCTAAAGTTGTAGATGGATCCATAGAATTACCCGAAAGCATATTATTAGCTTATGATTTGATATCACCATCCAGTAAGTCTACAACTAAAAATAGTGCTGTGTCTCAAACCAATTTCTTATATGATCCTTTACCACCCCAATACCCATTCGAATTAGACACATCATCATCTGAAACAAAAGATACGATACTTCCTTATGATATGCCAAAACAGCGAAAACCAAAAGCAGTTACCCCAACGCTAAACTATGAGCCTGTAGATTACGATTCGGTAAAAGTTATACCACTAAACAAGGGTCCAAGTCCAATAGATGATGAGAAAATAATTTTCAATATAGAACAAAACAAGAGGCAGACTAATGATAGTACGAATAATGAAGATTCTACTGATATAGTTACAACAGAAGTACCAACTACTGTAACAAGTGAGGTTAAAGATGCCGTACCCGCAGCAGACAATGATCAAGGGGCGTCGATTTCTGATCTTGAAGATTCTTTCGGAGGTGCAGCACCGGTAGAACCTGGTGACTCCGTACTACCGCCACCACGGAAAAATGGATTTTATTGGATGTTAGATTGGAACAGTTTTCTTGAAGTAGGCGATGGTGATTCGAAAGTAAACATTCGTTTTGAACCAAAATTAGGAGATCCACAAATGTTTTTACCAGTAAACGTTCCTTGAAATACGAATTCCTTTTCGAATGCGATACATCTGAGTAGTTGTCTAGTCTGATCTGGTTTAAGTAACTCAATAGCTTTCTCTAAACTATTTCTTATTCTACTCCAAAGGTTACTGCCATATTAATTGACAAGAAAATTTAATTAAATATCTTTGCAATGAACATAATAAAAAGAGCTTGTATATATAAAAAAAAAACAAATTAGTATTTAAGTATAGAATTACATGGTAAATATTAAAGTGGATGGTAAAGTACTAGTAAAATTAGTATAAGATGTACCAAAAAATTATTGTACGGTTTGTATTTTATAAATAAAATAATTTACAAATTAAAATTTACCCTTTATTTCGTCAATTTTACATTAGAAGCAGATTTAAATTGGTTTTAAGGAAGCTTTATTCTATGTTATGAAAGGCCCTTTGTTTCTACTCAATAGTTTTGAATAGCAAGCAGTAGAATTTAATGAATATTTTCACGCTTTTTTATTTCGATCGAGATTCTTGTAACAGCAAGAATATTTTCTTGTTAATGTTACAGTTCAATAAATTCGTCGCTACAAGCTGTGTCAGTTCGTTGCTAAACTAAAGCAAGTTTGTGTCGCAACCTGCAGGTATTTGTTTCACTTAGTTCTACAACAAGGTAATTGTTACTTTATACTTTGTATGTTTTCTTTTACCTTTACTAAACTTGATATTTGTTAAAGTTATGTAAACAATTAACAAGCTGGTTTATGTAATTAAGGGTCTTCTAAGCTTATTTAACGTCTGTAGTTTAAAATTCTTACAAATGAATCCGAAAAATCTATATTTGTTATTTTTCTAAAATATTACCAGATAGTTTACTAAGATAGCTGTTGCTGGCGACTTCGTCTACGTGGAGTTAAAAAAAAACTTAATAAACTCAGCTACTCAGTGGTTGCGTAGCTAATGGTAAAATCAGTCAAGTAGTTTTTAAGTTATTTCAATACATACAAAAATATAAATCTCTACTCTATATAATACTAGCCTTCGCCCGCGACTCCGTCCGCGCGGAACTAATAAAAAACAAAAGCAAGTAGCCTACATGTTCTTCCATACTGTGCTCTACATTTGTGCCATTCTCAGATCCGTTTAGCCTGCAACCTCTAACAAACATCCATCTAAACTTTCGCATTTATAATATTAGTAAGATAAGAAGTATGATTAGTAAAAATTTATCACAACCGAGTGGCGGGATTCGAACCCGCGACAACGTGATACCTTAACCATTAGGCTGTTGACTTTTAGGTTTTGAAATGATGTTCAAATATGTGCAATAATTTATAGAACATAATTTATCTTTTCGGTATACTCGAATTTAATAATTTTTTTTCGATACGATTCGACTTCAATGCACTCCAGGTGATTACCAAATCAATACATGTTAATAAATGACTACATAATGAAAATGTTTTAACATTTTAGATGTATTCACTGTGAATAATTGTCAACACATCACGTAGTGCAAATGAGGAACGAATGTGATTTATTAATGAATGTACTTTATTATTATTTTTTTATATCATAAAGTGGCAAACGAGCAAGCTGCCACCTGAATCCGCCAAAATGGCGAAGCGACCGCTGCCTATAGACATCCGCAATTACAGATGCATTGCCTACCTTTATCCGACAGAGGAGGAGACGCACATAAAGAGGATATATCCCCTTCCTATGCATCCCCTCCACCGTCAAATCCACTTTCCCTTCCGATCCTCTCCTTATAACAAAAGGGTGGTAAAGAGAAAGGGACTTGAATTAGGCCTCTGGCACCTCACTCATCAGACGAAACACGGAATTGCTTCCATTTCACGCCTGTCTTCTGTGTGGTCGTGGTATTACACCGGGCGAGCCGGCCTATTCGTGCTAAGATGTTAAATCGGGCACTACCACTGGTAAATAAAAAATACCCGAAACAGGATTAACGTAATACAGTAACCTATGGAATATCAAATTAGGACGTTAATTAGCACTTTATTAGACCTAAATTGAATTTTAATGTAAGTTTCAAGACTGACGTTAAAGTTTGCATAATGAAAATAAGAAATTTCAAGATATGTACCTAAAAGGTACCATGCAATGTCACTAAATAGATATTAAAATAACAATTAAGTTTTATAATCTAAAAATTACTAAAGATCCAAGAACTTACCTGCCTTTAAACCTTTTTGCACCTAACTAAAAAATAAAAATAATGTAAGTCATTGCATAAAGATATATGAACAAAGACTCTACCAACACTAGGGTGGAAAATATTACACCGTCCCTACGTTTTCTAAAGAACGAGCACACCTTCAAAGCTAGAAAAACATCTTTTGATTATTCAAAAACAAGTTTATGCTAAAGGCAACTTACCTACTTTCCATTACTCTTGACTCATTATTCTTTCTTATGCCTTCCTTTGTATGTGACTAGAAAGAATTATAATGTTTGTTTATACTATACTTATTACATTTTGTTCCTTAGACTTATGCAATTTTATATCTCTCAAGAAGTTTGTAAATTTCAAAATACTAAGGTGCCTACAATATCCAGGTCTAGGTCCTCATAGCTTTAGTAAACCATTTTTGCTCTTGCGAGATAGAATGCCTTACAGAATTTCTTACACATTCGTTCATCAACGTCTTCATTATCTATAATACTACTAATATTATAAAAAGATTTGTATTTTTGTTTTTTGTATGTATTGAAATAACTCAAAAACTACTGGGCCGATTTCAAAAATTCCTTCACCATTAAAAAGCTACATTATCAGTAACATAGGTTTTATGATATTTTTAAATTCACGCGTGCAAAGTCACGTGCAACAGCTTGTGTCCTAATATAATATTATCTTAAGCTGATATTGTACTGCGTGTTAGCATTATAACTTAATTGGCAATTACATTTTGAGTAGTGTCTGCGGGAAGATAGAACAAGTTTGAAGCTAATCTGATACAGCGAAGTCTCGCGGGAATCCATCGGAAGTTAAGCGTGTAACTGACGTGGAGTAATCAAAGTTTTAGATTTAGTACTGGTTAGCATATACCTAAATTAGATATTCGTTTTATTAAAAAAACTTGTGGAATTAAATGCTACACAATATGAAAAGGACTTTCTTTTTATGTCTTTTTTTGTTAATTTTACTACGTACTTATTATTATTATTAACCATACTTGCATGTTAAAATTTTGCATCGATTGTTACAAAGTAACTCTAGTTTCTGGAGTCTAGAAAGTAAAAGCTAGTATGTTAACAACATAAATAGCTTTTATAAGATCGAAGAGGCAATACCGAAGTGAAGCAAATAACTTAAAGTTACAATTCAATTATTTACTTGTATTTGCTGTAATACGATTTCGGGCATAGATAAATTAAATGCTATTATTTTTCAGTAGGCGCTTATAATAGTCAATAGTTTTTACAACGGATTTAACTAATTTATGAGAATTAATTTAATCGTAATATTTAAGCGTAGCAATGAACTTTACCTCCTTTATAATAACAATTCAATATTAATTCCCTATAAGAGCCGTAGCGAAGACGTTGAATGTAAGGCGCGTAATTTCGGATCCCTTTTGTTTCTATAATGAATTTGAAATTCAAATTTTAATCACGAAAAGCATTGAAATGATATCTTCTACTTTGAGTCAGAAAATGTCAACAGCGTAGAATATAAATTGGGGAGTCAACAGTCTCAATGTACAAAATTACTAAAATCTATTCATCATCCACTTGCCCTTATCCCTTATGGAGGGTCGGCACAGTATGTGCTGCTCTTCCATACATCTCTATCAGCCGTCATATCTGAATCCACTCCTTTCTTAAGCATATCTTCCTTCACACAATCCATCCATACTTTCTTCGGTCTTCCTCTTCCTTTGTAGCCATCCACATTCAATCTCAACACTTTCTGGTTTATGTCCCCATCATTTCGTCGCATAATATGTCCATACCACGCTAACCTTTTGCTTCTCAATTTCTCCACCACTGGCGCTACTTTCAAACTTCCTCTAATGTACACATTCTTAACTTTATCCAATCTTGTCACACCACACATCCATCTTAACATACGCATCTCAGCCACATGCAATCTCCTTTCATCCGCAACTTTGGTGGCCCAGCATTCAGATCCATACAATACGACAGGTCTTATGATGGACTTGTAGATCTGTCCCTTAAGCCTAAGAGGCATTCTTGGATCACAAGTCACACCAGTAACCTGTCGCCATTTCATCCAACCTGCATTACTAAAATTAAAATTACTAAAATCTATTACATTCAAATATTATGATAACTATGAATTTACGAATATTTCGTTCTATAAATAAATATTAGATAGTCAATAGAGAAAAATGTAATCTATACACTATACTAATATAATAAATCGTAAACACACACCACGCCGTGGCATAGGATGTCAGCAATCACAGCAAATTTTTGAATAATTCTTGCTTTAATAAAATGCCCTATACTTACGACACGCTTTAGGCTACGTACTTGCACGCTATTAAACTTAGGGGGTAAATAAATTGAAAAAAATACCTTATTTGGGAAAGGGACCATATACTACAAGCTGCCAACATTAAAGAAGTTACTATGGTAACGGTAATTTTAACATTAGCAATTGAGAATGTGACGAATGTACGAGTAAACAATAAAATAAAGTTTTTGTAATTTAATGAGGATGAAGCCGCACGGGAATAGCTAGTTTTATATAGTTATTAATTCGAACTTTTCTACGGATTTCCCTATATGAATACGATATACGTGGAATACCTTTATTAGAAAATTCTAAATTCAAACTTTACAAAACATAGATAACGTTTGCGCTTGCAGCACAAGGCACAATATCGCAGGCTCTTGTTAACCAGATAATATATGACCCAGTAGCGGCTGCCAACTAACATACTATGTAGTATGTAGCCTTCGTAAAACAAAGCGATAGGGTTCTTAGAATTAATTCAACTAGCTGTTCCCCACGAATTCGTCCGCGTAAAATTTAAAAAAAAATAAAAAAGTATACCCTATGTTAGTCAGCGATAACGTAGCTTTTTAGTGGTGAAAGAATTTTTGAAATAGGCCCAATAGTTTTTGAGGTGTCTCAATATACACAAAAATAAAAAAATACAAAAATCTTTTATAATACTAGTATAGACAAGCTGTCGCTCGCAAACTTCGTTAGCGTGGAATTAAAAAAAAATGGACGTCTATAACATTCCAGCGTGCATCTATCTACTTACCAGCTACCTTCCAGTCAAAGTACCGTCAAAATCGGTCCACCCGTTCCAGAGATAGCGGTCCGGTGGCCATTTTGACAGCGTGGAATTTAAAAAAGTAGCCTATAATATGCCCGTCTATGTGAGCAACCCTCCAGTGTCAGTCCGGTCGAAATCGGCCCGGCCATTTCGAAGATTACCCGGAACAAACGCGGCTTGTGTACAGACAGACAGACAAATTGTTTTTAAATGCGTTTTTCGTTTTCAACGAAGCAAATACATCATGTTCCCGAAATCTGGAATTTTTCCTTTGACATTACAAACAGACACTCCAATTTTATTATATGTACATATAGGTATATTTAGATAGATTTATAAAAATAATAGCATAAATACAGCTATTCATATGCGTCACCAAGAGCGATTTGGGATGGGAAGATTGTATACAATTATAATTATTTCAAAATACTAGATACTAAATTAAGCTAAGCCTACAATCCCTAGACAAGAACTTTGGAATAAAGAAAAAATCATTACTAGCCTCCGCTAGACTTCGGGCGCCTCTAACAGGATTTAGTTTGTAAATTTTACAGAGTTTATTATATCTTGTTATTTTTAATGAAAAACTGTTTGCGAAATGCTACCAAAGGTTTATAATTTAATAAATACTGTATATCGGCCGAACGATCATAGGGGATTCAATTAAGCGCCCTCAAACCGGCGCAGTCCATTATTTTGTTTATTCGGTACGTCATCCAAAATACACAATTTTAAAATCGAATTATCCCGAATTAGATAGAATCGATTTGTTTGTTTCAGATTTGTTTAAATTGTAGATGCGTTTTTATCTTCTTTATTTAAAACTAATTCCAGTAGAAAGGATTTTTGCCAGCAAGGGGCTTATATTATCTAACATTCTGTATTTTCAATTACTTATGTAACTTAAAAGAAGTCATTTTTTCTTCTTTAACTTTAATAATTTTTCTTGTTTGTTACTTACATGATAAAATAGGCTTTCTTTTTTTAACTGTAAGATATTTTTTTAACAAATCGAAAACATATAAGTGAATTTTTCGACACATCGTGCGTGTTTTATCTTGTCCTCCCGAGTCCCGCGAAAGTAACGAAATAGATAAAGCGTCAGATTTAGGAAAGAAATTGTGCAAACAAACAATGATTAATTTTATAAGGGTTAAGTGCTTACTTATACTTATGGTTTAGTTTAAAAAATAAAGTCTTCTAGACGCCAACTTAAAAAAATGTTTTCACTGTTCTTATATGCTTTAGATTCTCATAGATTGTGAACATTTTAACTTAGAATATAAATTTACAGTTTAAAATTATGCTTATCACTGTAAATTAGAATTATAGAGTGACGAAGTTCGCAGTAAGACGGCGTGACCATAGAGCGACACTTTAGAGCGCGCGCTCACCTTTGAGCCTTCGACTAAACTATCGCACGAATGTTTAATCGTGATTTGATTCCTATGAGCTTATATGGAGGTGCACACACTACTCGACTTTCAGTTGTTCTACATTTGTATTGACTGCGAAACAATCGTCAATCACGCAACAATTGTGCGATTGTTTAGTCAAAGTTGTGCCGCCCGCTCTTAATCTAACGACCATAGAAGATAGGGCGAATTGGGGGACCGCAAAAACATAGAGCGGCGCCACGCGCACATAAGTTTGGCTTTTTTCGTATGGGTTTGTATAGCAGTTATAAGTTGCTATAGAAATCTCGCCCAGGACGTCAATAATGATAAAATCAGCCCAGACCATAGACCAAAAATTTGATTTCATCCTTTCAACGATTAAAGCCTCAGGCCGTACAAAAGTGTTAGCGCTAATGGAAAATGAAAGGTACATGCATATTTCATGTTTTGTCTGTGCGGGAGGTACTTGTTTGCGGCAAACACCCGCTCACTTTGCGGGAGTGCCACTCTGCGGATTTTAGACCGGTCCGTGATGCTCGCGTGTTGTTTTGGATTTTGATATATGCATATTTTAAATCCAATTTATTCAATGACATCCAGTTTGAATCTTAGCTATTTTTTATGTCAGGAGCAATCCATTCAGCACAAACAAGTGCGAGTACTAGAAAAGTTACCTTTTTATATGTGAATAAGATACAATCCATATGATCATCATTACTTTCTACGCTTACCTCTTGTACGTGTATCACATGGTTTTGCCATTCCCTTCTTTGGAAAAAAGATATCACTTACGTAGAGTTTTGTCCCAACATTGATTATTAATTCAAAGTGAATCCAGCGGCGACAATTCAGTTACATTCACTTTCTAAATATAGCAGTATAATAGTGTGAGAATAAAAAGGGACAACGCACTTTCCGCATCCATTTTTCATTTGCAATTTTGTAAATATTTGAAAATGTATTAGCAATTCAAAATAATTGCTAACCCAACCCTAAATTCATTACAATTTTGACTAAAATATTTAACAAGAATTGAAACGACAGACAATGAATATTCAAGATTCCAAATTCAAAAATTTTTTGTTCCTAATATTTGAAAAACTTTTAAGGCCAGTAACGGTTTTAAATCTACTTGAGTCCTGGGCGAGAGTTTTACGGCGTCCCCTTTTTTACTATGACTAGGGAGACGGTTTTGAGTTTTATATGATAGTAATTTGCAGACCTGTGCCCCCCACTTTTCTGTCAGGCGCCCTGGGCGGTCATCTAATGCCCTACCCTGGCACTTTTTAAGGCTATTTTTTATATCACAACATTTTTCATTTCTAAACAGATAAAAAATACATTTATTCCTTATTAACTTATATCAATTTATTAACGAAATTCTGCTTCGATGTCAAATGTAAATTTTGTCTCCGTGTCGAAATATAATTTCAAGACAATCTGCACAGTCGAGATAAGCTCGAATTTTACGGCCGTCTATAAAACGAGATGCTTTCTACACCGGAGTTAACTTAATTTTCATGAAATAAATATGATTTATGTGTTATGGGAGCCAGAGATTTAATATTTGAGAATTAAAGCTAGATTTTCTTATGATTGAAAACATGAACAATTCAGTTCTTAGCAAAAGGTTACCATTCTAGAAATCAATGAAAGTATTAATAAGAGAGTGTTGTAATATAAAAAAGTATTTTTTATCTGTATCCGCAAATACCTTTTTGTTTCGAGAAATATCTAAAACAGCATTTTTACGTGACTTTTACTAAAAGTGAGATAACGTGTGCGGGAGTAAATAATTTTCTATTCCGAATCCTTTATAAAAGTCGTGTTTTCTGAACTAGAAGCCATAATGGACCTAAAAGCAACATGCATATTTTATGTGATTGATTTTAAAAATTCACACAGATTTATCAGTCGTAGAAAAAAGGCTTTTTTACACGGAAACTAAGTTTTGTTAATAACTTAACCTAGTTTAACAAACGTAATACAATTATTTTAATCTTTTTCATTATTTCCCATACATCCTCGGTGCCTTGTTTGTGGATTTGATAGAGAACGGGAACCGTACTTCGTCGATTAAAGGTCTAACGGCAGCAACCGCTTCTCTATTTCGGCGAATTAAGGTGACCGATTACCGTCTTACTCTTACTCATCTTACAATATAAAAAAAAAACTTCAAAATATATTCATTTGTAATTGATTCTTTAATTTTAAATCGAATATTCCATCAGACTCTCAGAAGAAGAGATGAAGAGAAAAGAAATTTGAAAAAGGAAATCTTTCATACCGACTAAATGGTTACTAATAAAATACATTTCATCCTCAAAGACTGAATCAACGTCTTTTAAGATTTTTAAATAATGTAAATCTTAAATATCCAGCATTATTGATATCATCTCTGATGGCAGTAATATTTTTAAAAGCTTTGTCGTGAGACGTTAGTACAAAAGTGCAGAATCTTGTCCTCACTCGCTTATACCCAATGGAACGTATGATACAATATGTTGGCCAGAGTCATATCGCAAAAGATAACATAAGCTGATGTACAGTAAGCAAGTGAATGTATTTTAAGATTTTTTTTCGTTACATCTCTTACATTTATAATCCTTAATTCATGTTAAAACTAGCTTTAGCTCGCCACGCAATATGCAAAGAATTAAAAAAAAGTGAGTAGCCCATGTGTTCTTCCAGACTATCCTCTACATCTATACCAAATATCATTATAATCCGTTTAGGCGTTTATGCTACAAACTCAAACAAACAACCATATAAACACATTTATTATGTAAGTTTGAAGTTTGATTATTCATTTATCTTTACCTGTCTATACTATTATAATAAAGCGTAAACACACACTTCTTTGTTGCCTAAGATATCAGCAAGTACAGCATGTTTTAGAATAATTATTTTTTTAATATAAAGCCCTACACTTACGTCACGCTTTAGGCTGTATATTTTCACGCCATTAAACTAAGGGGTAAATATTTTGGATAAAAACCCTAATGTGGGAAAGAGACCATAAGATGCTGCCAACATCAAGAAAGCAAGGTTGTCATCATGTCATATCATTTTGACATTTGCAATTGATAATTTGACAAATGTAAACAATAAAAAGAAATTTTTATAATTTCATGCGAATGAAGTCGCATGGGAACAGCTAGTACTTAATATTTCTGAAATCCAATAATGTCATTACTTCAAATGTTTTAATTCTTATTTTGCAGCTGGTATAATTAATTTGCCTCTTGAATAAATACTTGTGGCTAACGAAAAATATGACCAAGTTGTGCTCAGTACCTGGAATGTTAAATTATAATATTAATACAAACTTTCTATCAGTATATCAAGAGTGTTGTTCGTTAAAATTCATTCACAGTATAGTGAAAACTAGAAACTGTTTCTAACAAGAACGAATATTGGTTTCCAATACTTTGGTTAAGAGTGAAATACTATCGGCTCTCAAACCAAAGAGGTTATTGTTAAAGAAAGACAGAAGAAAGTATGGATTGTGTGAAAGAGGATACGCGAAAGAGAGTAGTTATGACAACTAATAGAGATAAAGAAAAAGGATAGAATGGACGAACTGAATGGATGGAATTTGTGAAAGTTGTTCTAGAAGAAAGTATGACGTATGAGATTGACGTGCAGGAGGAAACCCGGGCAATAAAAAGGAGTATAAGAGAAATGATCTTACCTTTGTAAACATTATCATTGTAATTGGTACATGTCTTAATGCTGTCAGACAACAAGGACGTTGCGATCTATTGGAATTAAATTAAATTAAATAAACATTAATAAAATTTAATGTGATATTTGCTTCTGTACCTTATTATAATGAAATTAATCATTTTTTGGTATCGCATATCTCCTTTATACCAATTGTTAATGTATGCTGATTCCGCTATGCCTGAACTCTAAAATATAAAAATTGTCAATCAATTTGTGAAGTTAGCTAATGTAACATGGTACACTATTGTTTGCACTGCAAGATGGCTTCTAACTCAACAACGTAGTACCGCAATTGACTTTTCCATTAAATTCTTTTGAATAACTTATCAAGTGATCGTATCGAGCTGCCTTTTATACCACTCCACATGGGACGTTATTTAATTTCAGTTACCAATTTAGAATTGAAATCCTCTAAATACATTTTATTACAATTATCATAATTACCTCCTCTTTCAATAATTCACCGTAGTAACAAAGTGTATAAGTTGGCAACAACAATGCAAGAACTGCTACTAAATTATTCATAGTTTCAACCGCGCCACGTGCCACCTGAAATAAGACATTTTCTTGGAAGATTATGATTATATAACTTATAGTGAAGTAAATACCTTATAATAAAGACCAATCAGTATTTTTTATATTATAAGGTGGGAAACGAGCGAGCGGACACCTAAATCTGCCGAAATGGCGAAGCCACCGCTGCCCATAGACATCCGCAATTGCAGATGCGTTGCCTACCCTCAATCGACGAAAGTGGAGACTCATATAACCAGAGTATTACGCCTGCCTATGCGTCTTCTCCGCCGTCAAATCCACTTTTACTGCCCATCTTTTCCTCTTATTATGGTGGATAGAATGGGAAGTAAAGAATATTGATAATTAATGGAAAAATAGCAAAGAATTAGTTGTGATTGTCTTGCTTACCGTAATTGCGAATCCAAAAAAGCACAATGTTGCAGTAACGAAGAGTAAATTAATGAAAATAATTTTGTTAAATATGTCATCAAGTTGTTTTGCTAATCTAAAAAAATTAAATCAACATATTCATTTAAGACGCTCAAGAAATACAACAAACTATTGTAATAAGAAATAGCAACACTAATAACTACGTTATAAAAGTTCCTGTTCTTTCTATTGTCAAAGATCAAGACTCCGAAAGCGTCCCTTTTGTTATAGAGGATCCTTTAATTCAGACAAAGCTCTTTGCTCCGTCGCTCATTGTCAGTGGCAACTCTTTGCTTCGGTTCGAAAGAATATTAGCATCGTATTTCACTAACAATCTTATTGTCCTTTTTTAAACAAAAACATTAAATACTAAATAATTTAAAATTAAATGTACAGATTTAAATTTTACAATACATTTCAATATTTTTTTATATTATTTTTTATTTCAAAGTGATAAGAAAACTTTAATATCCCAATCTCAATCTAAAGGTTATGTTAAATACTGTTCTACTTTTACTACTCAGTTTTATAGCTTATTTAAAATTTTATAGGAAAATGTTAAAATTGACATACTAGCTACAAAATCAGGATTGAATGTACCTAATAAGCATTTGATGTCGACGAATAAAATCTTGAATTGAACTCGTGTTACTTTCAGAGTTTGTTTCTAATCCGATTCCCATTTGATTGCGAGGATTGTCCGTCTTAAAATATGGTGCAACGTGGAGCAGGTCCTCGCGTAATATTGAAAATTCAATCGCTATATTTGCACAAAGTGCTATCATCAAAAATTCAGAACCAACGTAGGCGTACACTTCACAACTCACTGTAAAATATTATGTACAATTTAAATTTTACTATCCTTTCCTTGTTCTTAAAGTCTAAATGTGAAGGTGGACAGAATTAAACTATTTAAATAATGGATTCGATTCATAGAGGTAAGATATGAGGGAAACAGAACACCTCATAGAAGACACGCTTGAAGTTAAATATTTTCTCACAACAAACTCTTTTCCTTTTCCTGTTATGTTATTTGCTCCTGCTGTTTTATTCCTCATTTTTCAATACATATATCTGGCCATTATCAGCCAACATTAGCGATGTATCAGACGAATCAGATATCCAAAAGTTTTTAACTACTAGTTCCCCTTTACTTCTCTTGTATATTTGTAAAAGAAAAAACCATTACATACTAGTATAAACCTGAAACGCATATGTGCCCAAATATTTTAACCAGCTGTCTGTTGATTCATACGGGTATATACTTCCGAATGGTAGTGCAAGTTCGCAGTACTCTCCTAGAATGAACCGACGAAAGAGCACTGAAGTCAACGGCCCTAAGAGATGTAGCCACGTTCCGAGAATATTGCTCCAATAAAACACTGTAAGTAACTTGATAAATAGAATACACTAGTTAAGATACGAAACATAATGATTTTGTTAAGCAGAATATTTTTTTTTATAAGAGAAGTGGCAAACGAGCAGAAAGAACATCAAAGTGATTATCTACGGCCATGGACATCACCAATTACAAAGAATTATATTAATTCTTGCGTTGCGTCCATTGTGATGATGCTTTAAATTTGAAAATACCGCCGAAGACAGACCATTCCACGACACGGCTGTGTTTGGGGTAATTTTCTTTTACGGATATTTTAATAGAATACATGAAAATAATTAAAATGTACTGTGGTGTTTAGGGAAATAACTGCAATTTACACAATAGAAGTTTTAAAAATGTAATAAAAAAAGAATTTACTTGCAAGATAAATCTTTAATCGCTTCGTTAAGCGTTTCTTCTTTTTTATTTGTCTATTAGTTAAGTTCGCAGAATCCTTTAAGATACATAAGTTATTTATTAAAGCTTCTATATCCGATTGCTTTGACAAAATAGTCGCTGCCTTCAAGATTGCTGGAATAAGGTGAAATGTTAGTAGTACACATGTTTTGTTTTTTTCTTTTCTTCTGTAAAACTCTGTGTTATGTTTAAGGAATCATTAAAAACCGGCGCTTCGATGTACACCGCAGCCCATGCCGAATGAATCCCTTATCTTTTTTTTTAAACAAACGAATTTCTTTCTTAACAGGTTTAAGGATTACTGAATCGTTTACTTTCATTTTTTTTATTTAACATAAGGTGGCAAACGAGCAAGCTCCCACCCGAATCCGCCAAAATGACGAAGCGACCGCTGTCCATAGACATCCGCAATTGCAGATGCGTTGCCTACCCTTATATGACGGAGGAGGAGACGCACATAAAGAGGATATTTCCCCTTCCTAAGCATCTCCTCCACCGTCAAATCCACTTCTACTTCCCAACCTCTCCTTATGAAAAACGGTGGTAAAGTGTAAGGGACTTAAATTAGGCCTCCGGCTCCACACTCATCAGACGAAACACGGAATTACTTCCACTTCATGCCAGTCTTCTGTGTGGTCATGGTATTACAGCGGGCGTGTCGGCCCATTCGTGCTAAGATGTTAAAATGGGCACTACCACTGTATACTTTCATATGAAAAGATTGTGGCATTAAGTCTTAAAATATCAATTGCCAAGCTCTTTACTAGTATGTATATGCATTCACTTACCTTGCAAAGATACTAAATACACAGGGATCATGTAAGCCACTACAAACGCGTTAACTTCCTCGTTAAATATCTTACAAAGAAATGCAAGTATACTAATGTTATGTACAATCACAAAAGGTACAAGACAGCATAATTTCCAATATTTATTGAATGTAGAGTTACTGTTAATAAAGAAATAGATATAACATTTGTTGAACAATTCGAAACATTCTTTTAACGGTCCCGAGTTGAAGTCATTCATTTTGGATTGCTTAGAAATGTTTGCGTTTACTTTGCTTTTGGATGTCAGATGATTACTAAAACTGTTTTTACTTGGTTTTATTTAAGCGTATTTAATTACATTTCATATGTTATTTTAGGGATCAGCTTTTTACTAGTGGACCCGTGTTAAAGTTTGCTCTACCTCCTTTTGAGTAAAATAAGTGTAATTTTTCAGTTGAAAAACTTACTGAACCCAGTCATTTCATCACGAACAATTAGAGCCGTTTAGTAAATTACGTGAATGTAAACAAAATTGAAATCGTTTATCTCTTAATAGGGCTTCTAAATACAAAAAAATACTGCAATTTACTTCAACATTGAAAAGTTTAATTACTCGAATGGAAACAATTTTTTTTTTCGATATAAACAATTAGAAAGAGACAATTTAGTTGTTTTTCACATTGAATTGTTATTCTCAAATAACAAAGCAACGAAAATTTCCTATAAAGTTATACAAAACATAATAAAAACGTGTACAAACATTAAACAATTGAGAAAAATATCAATAAATAGACTAGAATAGAAATAAATTTATTGAATAACAAGAGATATACAATTGCAATAATTATACCAACTAAAAGATGACTAATTACAAATTGTGATTATTGTACGTTTAATCTGGTGAACATTTTAAGTACAAAAGTTTGTATAAAATATACGAGTATATAAAATAACTGAATGTTTACGAGTAATGTTTGCATAATTTGTATAAAAATATTTCTGTGTTTTATTGGGCTACTAAATATAAAACCACATAGCATAATGATTGGCTCTTTTCAAACGAATGTTAATCTCCTGGTAGCCTTTTTATACAAAATAACATTTTGTATATACGCGAATGAATGTATTTATCTTCGCATTTTGTAACAAAAATAACTAACAAGTCCATACTTACTTTTATTTATTACTAGCTTTCGCGCGCAACTCTGTCCGCGTGTTATTAAAAAAAAAAACAAAATCAAATAGCCTATGTGTTCTTTCAGACTATGCTCTACATCTATGGCAAATTTCATCAAAATCCGTTCAACCGTTTAGGCTACAAACTCTAACAAACATCCATCCATCCATCCATCTAAACTTTAGCATTTATAATATTAGTATGCTTAGTATATCTTGTTTAAAATTAAGTACTGGTTTGGTTTATAAAAAAAAACATCTTGACTGCACGTTACCTTTATTCCTTCCGGGAAAGAAAAGAAATTGAATAACACACTTCAAAGACAGATAAAAACATACAAACATGCTTACAGACCGTAAGCGGTCCCGATTAAGTAAATAAAAACTAGCTTTTGCGTGCAACTCCGTCCGCGTGGAAAAAAAACAAAAGTAAGTAGCCTATGTGTTCTTCCAGCTCTGCGTCTATGCCACAAAGATCAATTCAAGCGTTAAGTCGGTAATCTCTGACAGACATCCATCCATCTAAACTTTCGTCTTCATAATATTAGTAAGACATGAGGTAATAAAATTACATTTATTGTGAAACAAAATTATGTATTCATAGAGTGAAGGTTACTATTTTTTGTACAATAAGTATTTGTGCAAGAATCAATTGCGTGAATTTAAATATTAAACTGTAATATTTTCTAATGCTTCCGATAAATATAGCTGCAGCTGAATTGTTAAAAATAACTTTAGTAAGTGTTCACTATGAAGAGATAAAATATTATTTTCGTGTACATGAAGAGCTAAATTAGCTATCATGTTATCGTGCACGTATTGTAATCTCAGTTTGCATTATCATCACTCGAGTAAATAGTAGTTATTAATGAAAAATAAGACCATGTTGTACTTAGTATCTGAAAAATAATATTCCTGTAGAAACATTGAGAAATAAAAAATATAAAAATTATATATATAAAAACATGTACCTTACTAAACATATTTAGAGTAACGGGCACTCGTTTCAATGATGTCAGACAGCAAGGCTTTTGCGACCTATCAAAAGATAAACTATCTTTTTAACAATTAGCAATAAATACTGGCCCAATCCGCTGAGGGAGAGCCATAAACAAGAATTAGAATAAAACAAACAACATTAATTCATATATGAGTGAAACAAAGCAAAAGCAGAACTCTTATTAAAATTACGCAGTATTAAATAACAACATAATCACGCTCACAACCCAGAGGTGTATACAGAAACTATGGACTTCTACATTTGTACATCCATACATGCATGTTTTTTTAAATGCTCTTAACAACGGCTTTGAGTATTTCATTAATCTGAACGACATAAGTTAATTCGTATTCCTTTGTTATCTCCTTTTGTTCCTCCTTTCAATATTCAATAACTCGTATTACATTAATTTAGTAACATAAAGCGGCAACTTATTTTGTTAGACCATTTTCCACTAAGTGGTTACGAACGCATGGCTACTTTCATACCCAGAACTGCTAATAGATTTAAATTAGAAGCCCTGTGTGGTGATTAGTTAATTTATACTTTACTCACCGTGTTATTATAAAGCATATAATTTTCTGATATCGAATATCTCCTTTAGTCCATAGACTAGCATACGCCGCATCAGCTATACCGGAACTCTTAAAATATTATATAAGCAAGAAATATTACCTCCCAATACACAGAAAGTCTTTAAAAGTGCAAATACAAAACAAATTTAGTATAGTAAATAGTTAGACCGATCGCACACCTTTGACTAAAAAGTCGCACAACTTTTTAGTCGCACTTTGATTTCTATGAGCTTATATGCAGGTATGATATATGGCAGGTATGACTTCTACCTGATTTTTAGTTGTGCAACTAAACAATCGAATTGGCTGCGAAACAATCGACAATCGCACAACAATTGTGCGACAGTTTAGTCTAAGCCTTAAGTATTGCATAAAACAAAAGAATATCGCAAAATAACGGTTATAATTCTAATAGCCAGTAAACAACAAACCTCTTCTTTTAACATTTCACCGTAATAACAAACGACATAAGCTGTGGACAATATCGCTACACTTCCGACGATATTATTTGCTTTTCCTACCATACCAGTTCCCACCTGCAAAAAAAATAAAACCCGAGTCACAGCGACAACTAAAGATCAAATACAGAACTAACAAAACACTTTCAAGTGACCAGATTGACTTAATCATAGTTGAGCATGAAGAAATTATGAAAAAAACTGCAGAATTTCGTTTATTACGAGTATAACTATTACGCAAGATTAAGTACTCACCGTAGTAGCGAATGCGAAAAATCCGACTGTAATGGTGACGATCACGATATGAACGAAAACAATCTTGTTGAACACATCATCCAATATGTCTGCCAAGCTTTAATATAAAAAAAACTATTAAATACAGAAAAAATTTATTTACAATTCTTTAACCACACTCCAATAATGTAGACTTAGAACGTGTAGAATATATTGACATCTCTTTTTCCAGTACCAGAATGAGAGAGATAAGAAAACATTTTTCACAAATATTTCGGTAATGTTAGCCCAATGTGTCTGTGAATTTGATTAAAATAATTTTACCTTATAAGCTTTTGATCTCGACGTACAAAATCTTGAATAAAAATTCTTTCGGAATCCCTTGAATCCGTTTCCGTAGAATGTGACTCTGAATTCGCTCGTGGTATAACCCGAAGTAAATCTTCACGTAATATAGAAAATTCTATAGCTAGGTTGGCGCATAAACTTACCATCATGTATTCAATGCCTATATAAAACCATGAGTAACGAAGAACTAGAAAAAAAACTACTTGGTTAAACTTAAATTCTCCTTCCAATTCTATCCTTTTCAAACAAGAATGGTAAAAGAGGTGAAAATCACAGAGAACAAAAAGGAGTCTTTTCCGGTCTACCTCCAAAGACAAATGTTTTATTGTCTTGTAAGCGTTTACTCATTAACAGTGGTAGTGCCCGCTTTACCATCTTAGCACGAATGGGCCGGAACGCCCGGTGTAATACCACGACCACACAGAAGACAGGCGTGAAATGGAACCAATGCCGTGTTTCGTCTGATGAGTGTGGTGCCAGAGGCCTAATTTAAGTCCCTTTCTCTTTACCACCCTTTTCTTATGAGAGGATGGGAAGGGGAAGTGGATTTGACGATGGCGGAGATACATAGGAAGAGGAAATATCCTCTTTAAGTGCGTCTCCTCCTCCGTCGGATAAGGGTAGGCGACGCATCTGCAATTGCAGATGTCTATGGGCAGCGGTCGCTTCGCCATCTTGGCGGATTCAGGTGGCCGCTTGCTCGTTTGCCATCTTATGTTATAAAAAAAAAGCGAATTACAAGTCATAATGTTAAAAATAAAAAACTTAATAGACATTCTGAATGAAAATTGTGTACTTAAAATAATCATTATGATAGATAAAATTCCTCGACACTGTAGAAGGCTTTTTATATTAGCCATGACTGACTAAAGTTTATTTTTAAATGACGCGAGGCTGGTAGCCGCTGTGACGTGGTTGTAGACAGTGGGCCCTATGACGTGTGTAGATTTCTCAGTACTCCTCCTTCCTCACCTTCTTTATCCAATGTAAATAAGTGCAACACAACTATGATGTTACATTTTTCTATTGGCAGCGAACACTTAACCCTAGATGACGTGCTTGTTTTCCGTATTGACATAAAAAATAAACAAATACAAGAAATACTACCGTTAATAGCTTGGAATGTATACGTGGCTAAATATTTAAACCAATTAGAAGTAGGATCGAATGGATAAACACAACCAACTGGTAGTGCAAATGTAAAGTTCTGTTTTAATATAAAAATCCTTATGATTGTTGACACTAATGGCGCGAAAACATATTCCCAGGAGCCAGATATATCGATCCAGTAATACACTGAAATTAAGATAATTCTATTATACGCATACTTCATATTTATCATATAAATATTATAAATGCGAAAGTTTAGATTGATGAATGGATGTTTGTTAGAACTTGTAACCTAAACGGCTAAACAGATCTTGATGAAATTTGACATGGACGTGGAGGATAGTCTAGAAAACATAGGAACTCGCTTTTAATTTTTTTTAATTCCACGCAAACGGAGTCGCGGACGAGTCTAGTACTTCTTACTAATATTATAAATGCGAAAGTTTACATGGATGGATGGATGTTTGTTGGAGTTTGTTGCCTATACGGCTGAACGTATCTCAATGAAATATGGCATGTTGTCTGGAAGAACAAATAGGCTAGTTTCTTTTGTTAATTCTTAATTCCACGCAGACGGAGTCGTAGGCGAAAGCTAGTACTAAATATATGTACATAGTCGTGAGTTTAAGATTTCTTCTAACTTGGTTTGTAAGTCCTGAAATTGAATTTTAATTTTTCTACTTATACTATTAAAAATAAATTTATTGGCTATAACGAAATGAAAATTGTAAATGTTTACTTGTTTGCCAAAATTTTAATTGTTTCACGAGCCGTCTTTTCTTCTCAATTTGCTGATTGTTTCTGTCAGATGTCCTCCAAATCAATCCTAAATCATCAATGAAATTTACAATATCTTTTTTCTTATAAATCATGATTGCTACACGTAAAAGAGCTGCAAAAATCCAGTTTCACAATTATATTGACACATACTTAAAGTATCCATTATTAAAGTACTCGATTTGAAATAAATCCTACAAAACGTTTTTAATAGCTACATTCGATCTGTGTATTTTTTCTTTAAAAGTAATAAAATTATTAGTAACTTTTCTACAATTGCACTTGATAACAAAAAATATTAAAAGTAGAGTAACTTACATTGTATGCAAATTAAGTAAACAGGAACGATATTTGCTAATTCTGATATATTCAATTCATTTTTAAATATTTTACTCGCGTATAAAGTCATTGTTGTAATATGAATTATCAAAGGAGGTACCAACATTAGAAATCTTAATATTTTCTTCCATCTCGGAGTATCATATTCGAAAAACGTTATATTCAAATTGTTCAGCAAACTGAAAGATATTTCAATAGGTCTTGCATATTCTTTAGGAAAATAATTTAAGTGATTCATTTTAAATATTATTTTTATATTGGTTAGAAGCCTGTCTACTATAGAATGGAAACTAAACTATTTTTTTACTGTTTAATTTATAAATATTAAAGTAGTCAACTAAATTAGGGATCATCATCACAATATCTAAAAGCAAAAAAAAGGAGATTGTACTGTTAGTGGTTCTAAATGTACTTTTCTAATTAACTCCAAGACCACACAGAAAACGGACGAGAAGTGGAAGCAATTCCGCGTTTCGTCTGATGAGTGTGGTGCCGGAGGCCTAATTTTAATCCTTTCCACCATGTTCTTAAGAAAGGATGAGAATGAAAAGTGAATTTGACGTTGGAGGAGATGCATAGGAAGGGGAAATGTCATCTTTATGTTCGTCTCCTCCTCATTTGCAATTGCGGATGTTTATGGGCAGCGTTCGCTTTCCATTTCGGTGGATTCAGGTGGCCGCTTGCTCGTTTGCCATCTTATATTAAAAAAAAAACTACAGAACCACTAAGTTATAATATTATGCGATTTTGTATAAAATAATATTCATTATAACCTATAATATAACAATATAATAATCTCCAAATTAACCGTTTCGTCGTACATATAAACAATTTCTATAACATTTTGTGGGCGTTACTTCCTTTGATATGTTATGGTAATATTTTTTCCTTTTAAATTATTAAATAAAAAGCTAAACATCCAACTAAAGACTTTAAACAACAGTAATGGTTTGATACACACTCAATTTATACATTTTTAATGAATTGAAAAAAATGTTAGTAAAGAGTTCCCTATTGAGTTACAAATGGCAGGTCTATTACATTTGTAATCTGATTAGGCATTTTTCAAACTATCTAAATGTTTTACTGATTGTATTGATGGCTTATATTTACGTCATTATTTTCTTGAAAGAGAAACAAGTCGTGATTTACATTTCAGATTTAACATAATTAATCAATAACAGTCTTTACATGCTTACTTTTGGCCTTCCCATCATCACCAGCTCACTATACGTCCCCACCGAGGGGCTCGGAGCCTACCCTAAAGTTAGGGTGACTAGGCCATAGTCAACCACGCTGGCCAAGTGCGGGTTGGTTGACTTCACACATATCTTTGAATTTCTTCGCCGATATGTGCAGGTTACATCACGATGTTTTCCTTCACCGTAAGAACGTCGGGTAAATTATGTACATATGAAAATTCGAAAAATCGAAAATCACATTGGTACATGGCGGCGGGATTCGAACCCAAGACCTGTAGATTACAAGTCAAGTGCTTAAACCACTGAGCCACCGACGCTCTTGGCCTTCCCAATTACCACTAAATACGGTCCTCTGTCTTCCGCATCCAATGGCTTCCCGCCATTCGCACTAAGTCATCAGTCCTGGATGGACGCCCCTCGCGTTTCCCCTTACGTGGCAATTGAGGACTTTGCTTTATCATTTCAGTTTGTTCTGTCCTAATCAGAACCATTCAAAACCATTGCTTTAAAATTAATTATCGAAGATCTAAATTAATATTCTACATACTGTAACTTCTAATTACAATTTGCTTTTCATCGCTGAAACTGATTGATTCTGTTTAAGTTTACCTCATCGTTCATATTGTCCAATTTCGAAATGTAAATGAATAAGTACATAGTTTTGAATAACTGAATTTCTAATGATAATACTGTGTTATGAATAAATTTGTCTTTTCCAGTAAATGTAATTTGTAAATCTGTTCTGATTAAAGCTTAAAATGTATATGAAATGAATTACTTGTACTATGAAAATGCCACGCACTAGCTATCGATTAAAAACTTTTGAAATTCAAACAACCAGTGCAAAGTTATTTAATATCTAAAATTAAAAAAAAACATACACACCAATTGAAAACCTCCTCCTTTTTATATGAGTTACAAAGAAACGATATGTAACTTCAGGGTTTTATATAGATATTTAAAAAAAAAACGTCTACCACAAAAGGGTAACACAACACAGATAATATTTCGTCCTGCGTCTATTTGAGAACAAAATTTAGTAGTGTAATTGTAGTATCGTGTTATTCGCCTCAACTAATTTCAGCACCACCGCGATTCTATTAAAATTATCTTTTGAGAATATCAAATTGTGCATCAACGTTGTGTGAAACAAATTTACTACCAACATTTTAATATAAATTGAAAACGGATTAAGTGTACACTGAACTTGTATGTTGAATATAAATTCCATGATTGTTTTACTGTACGAAATGGAATATTTTATGTCACAGTATTTGTAGTAACTGATCCCATTCGGTTGTATTTTAATATACTTTAATATCGAAAGTATGCATGTAAGGATGTTGAACATAGGTAACTTAACAAAATCTTTATTGGAAACATAGTTTAGAATATCTTATGCACTAGACTACATTTGATCCCGGAAAAATGTACAATACCTGTAAGAACTATGCTGTTCTTGTCTTTGACATCTACATATACTATCTATACTATTATAATAAAGCGTAAACACACACTTCTTTGTTGCCTAAGATGTCAGCAATTACGGCATATTTTTGAATAATCCTTTTTTAATGAAAAGCCCTATACTTACGTCATGCTTTAGGCTATACATTTTCACGCCATTAAACTTAGGGGGTAAATATTTTGGATAAAAACCCTAATATAGGAAAGAGACCATAAGTTGTTGCCAACATCAAGGAAGCAAGATTGCCAAGTTTTGACATATCATGTCATTTTGACATTTGCAAATGACAATTTGACACATGTAAACCATAAAATATTTTTATGCTGACGAAATCGCACGGGAACAGCTAACCAATAAAATCACAACGAAAACAACATTACAAAACACATGTTCTTAAAGTCAAAGGAAACGTTATAAAATCTTTAAAATACTAATCTATTATATTTATTTAGAGACTCAATTTCAATTAGTTCAGTTTGTAGAGCAGGCGTAGCTTAGCTTCATAAACTTAATCTGATTAAATTCTCAAGCTTGTGGTAGCAACTTGTGTAATGTTTCACAATACTTTAGATACAACAAATAGTTTTTATTAGAGGAAGTTTGAGAGTAGCCCCAGTAGTAGAGAAAGTAAGGAGTAAAAGGTTAGCGTGTTATGGGCATGTTATGAGGAGGGATGTATCGTACGTTACAAGGAGAACGTTAGTTATGAGTGTGCAAGGGTACATCGGTAGAGGTAGACCTAGAAAGAGATGGATGGATTGCGTAAAAGGTGACATGATCAAAAAGGGAGTGATGACTGAGATGACGTATGATAGAGTTACGTGGAGTACAAAAACCTGCTGCGCCGACCCTACGGGATAATGAAATAGTTTTTATTTAGATACAAGTAAAATGTGAATTAATTATACATTAAAAATGTTAGCTATTAGTTAACGTCGAATCTTAAATAATTTATGCTCATTAGAGTAAATTAAAAGTGAACTATTTGAGTAACTCCTTTAAAAACTTTATTCTCAAAGCAGGGCCGTTGGGCGACCGCCCAGGGCCTTAGACACACGGCCTTAACATAGGGTTTGAATCCCATCTCCCAACAGTGCTAAAAAGAGGACTGTAGAAATCTCACCTACTAGACCAGTAGAGCTAAAATACGGACTGCCTAAAACTTTTACTCGGGATAATTTTTTATAAACTTTTTCTTGTTTAACCTCTGTGTATTGATTAGGGAAGAGTGAATAATTTAATTCTGTACATGATTATAAAGTATACCCGTTAAAAGGATTCCAGGAATGTTTAATTAATTTTAAAATACACGTGAGCTCGTGAAAGCTACGTAAATAAGTTAAACGAGAACGCTGGAATAAATTGCCTACTTCATTTTAGAAATATCTGTTCTTTTGACGTAAGAACAACATATATAGATGAAGACTACATACACGTATCTTTACGAGCGGATTTCAAAAATAATCTTTATATCAATACTAAGTTTTATCTAAGAACATTTTATTTTAGTCAAGATGAGCGGAAGTCTTCGGATTTCCTAAATCAGGGTTCAATCGCCTACTGATACATTTTGTATTGTTAACAAAAACCAAAATGTAAAGAGGTTAGACAGTTTGTGGCCATATTTTACAATCTATGGAATCGAAACCGATTGCGAATACGAACGTAATCTAAAACTATATTTATGATTTGTCTTCATATTTCTCTACTTTATTGTAATACGAGAAAATGGAATATTCTAGAATAAACGTAATTATATGAATGTAAACGTCGACTACGTTATCGCGGCCTAGTTTCACAAGCACTCAATAAATTTTCTTCATTTCCATATTGGCTGTTTGTTAAGCGTGCGGATATTAGCGCCCACATTATGTGGCATTTGAGGCGTTATTTATTGCGGTATCAAGATTTATGTCAAGATACCCTTGAGTGTGTGCACAAATGCTCTGGTTTTATGCATTTATTTAAACTTTAACTCACAACAAACCAATCGTAATACATTAAGTGTATTGGAAAAAATAATAAGACATACATACGTTGGCAGAGGGCGCAAGTTTAAGTTAGTTTCCACTGCAATATTATACCGTTAAGGCGGGCGCACACCTTTGACTAAACTATTGCACAATTGTTGTACGGTTGTCGATTGTTCCGCAGCCAATTTAACTGCACAACTGGCACAACTAAAAACCGAGTAGTGTGCTCACCATATAATCTCATAGGAATCAAAGAGTTACTAAACAGTTGTGCGATAGTTTGATCAATGGTGCACGCGCTCCTGTTCAATAAAAAAAAGGAAGTTAATATATTTTCATATACATGTTGCGGTAAACGCAAGTTAAGAATAAACGATGGTTGAGCAAAATAATACTTTTAAGAGACTATTTTTATCTTCTAGAAGTTATTGTAAATAAAATGAATTTATAAAAGTAACTAACTAGTTGCACAATTTGCTACGACTGATAATGTCAAAGACAACTGTCTCATAGTTTTTACATTAATTCGCGCACAAGAATAACTTAGGGAAGTTTTCAGTCGGTAACGTAAATTCTTGGGATGAATAGTGTGACCATGTCTATATTATCTTACAAAAATTGCTATAAACGATGTAATTTTTTTTCCAAATTTTGAATTTACTTGTAAGTAGATGTTGCTCGCGATTTTGTCCGCATGAAATAAAAAAGCCTATAATAACTATAAATTACCTTTTTAACGGTGAAAGAATTTTTAATTTAGTATCCAGTAGTTTTTGAGCTACTTCAATACATACAAAATATAAAAATACAATTTTTTTCTTTGGAGTCAGTTAAAATGAAAATATCTAACTAACGTCTACTACGTTATTTTCATAATTTTATTACTAGTACATGTTTTTGGGACTGTGTATATTACTGCTTTCTTTAACTTTACTTTAGATATTTCAAATTAACAAAATGGGATACGCCATTTATGCTAACAGGTGTAGTTTTTGACCACAATGACATAAATATATTTTCTTGCTATTTAATAAATAAAGAAGAAAATTGGAAAAGTTTGGCCACTCTAAATAAGACAAGTGTTGTTTTGTTTTGTTAAGAATAATGAGAAAACTCCGTGTAAACATGCGGAACCGCTCTGTTTCCTTTTGCTTAGTAATTTAATGTTATACGGCATTTCATAGCGTACCGAGAACTCACCTAACAATTTGTATTTCTTCCTGAACTGTTATAGTACCAAACAATAGTTACTTAGCATTTTAAGACTGCGGTACCTAGAATTATTCCGTTAAATTGTTTCCACCTGTAGCCTTTTTCCATCTAAGCGGCAAAACTTGATAATTGCTTGTTCCTTTTCTACAGGCGTGGCCTACAAAACAATTGGTACTATCACAAAATATAAAAATCTGCTTGTATAAATGTAATTTAATTTATTGAACGGATCTAACAGATTATGTATTCAGGTGGCAATGTATGTCAATGCGTTAACACGCTAACCTCTCGTGCGGCGATGGCGGCCGATTAGGCAAATCTCTAGAACGGTCGACACTCGACACTGCATCGAAGCGTGAGATGTTCAACGAAATGAATATTTGCACTCGTAAACCGATTTGCTTTTCCCTTTACGGTTTAAGTCCATCCATTTCAAGTCAACGAGATTTATATGGGGTTTTATTTACTTTGTAAAAAAATATTTTTTTTACATTCAATATACCTTCTATTCCAATCTATACTACTGTGAACATTTTTACATGACTCAGTTTATTATAAAACCCTTCGCGAATCAAAACATCAAAGTTTTTGGGTAAATTTTAGTAAGTCTTGTTTTCAATAAATTGATTATCGAATAAAAAATATTTTTAAATTCTTAACTTTCGAACAAAAGTACAGAAAACCAAGAAATAAGTATTCTTTCCATTCAAGCGCTTTTGTTAGAAACTTTGGTGCAAAATTTAGCTCCACTTTAAGCAATGTTAGTTTGAAAAATCTACCTCAACTTGAAAAATCACATCGATAAGCCAAGATCGAAAGAATGCATTCATTCCACTTGAAAACAAACTAAAACCATTATTCAACAAATGTTGAAATTGTTAAGAAAACATTTTTAATTGGCAATAACATAAAATTCCTGACATATTGAAGTTAAATTGAAGCAGAAAGACACAGTGTTATGATTTAATATAACTACTATAAGAGGTAAGTCAATCACAGCATATCGGAATGGCTGAAACCAAAATTCTGACTCAAAATTCTCGCGAGCTTTGTAACAACAAAAGTTTCAATGGCGTCTTTTTCTCTTGTTACACTAAAAGCAGAGATTCCTCAAATAATCCATGTGGAAATCGCAGGCTTCACGGAAAAATTGCAAACTCAAAAATTGACACTAACGGGGAATGAAAAATTAAGAAAATTTTGTAAGAGAAATCATTGACCTATAGAAACGTAACTCATTTTTGTTACAATCTCATGAAACTACAACAGAGACGAGGGAATGATACAAAAATTAATGGATGAAGCCAGAGAAACAAATCCTAGTGCACCTCAGAGGGAGACTTGAAATATAGACGGTGCTTTAAAACCCATTAGTACGGTCGGAGTGGTAGCTCCACCGCACTAAACAAACAATGTTTTACTGCAATGCATTTTTCCGCACATATCTGATTCCTAAGAAAAACGATACCATTAAAATTGGACACTCGATACCTAATTTCCACAGGTACTGGGATAGATTTTAGTTAAACATTTAAGTAATTGTAAATGAATTTGATTAAAAGTTAATATCGAATAAATTATAGACAGATCCATTCTGTAGACTGGTCTTTGTAGAATTGTTAATCCAGGACTGGGCAGCATTATAATTTAATAGACACAATCATAATTTTTAGTTTCCCCATCCTTTCAGCTTTCAAACGGAACTGATACATTTAAAAGTGACATTGTTACGTTCTGTGAGTTTTATCATGAAATGAGAAAGTTTTATAATTAGGAGTAGTCAAGTGGGACAGAAGTATATTTTTATTTCGGTATCCATTTATCACCTAACCTTAGAAAATGGGAACTAAACTTAAGTGCCTCTTTGAAAATATAGTTAAAACTTTATGATTTACATAAATACATTTATTTAAAACTAAGTTTATTTCAGTTCTCGACCGTTTGTAACTAACGAATGAAATAAATCTTGTTAAACATCTTTCATGTTAAACCGAGCGGCGACAGTAACTGCTTCCAAACTGGTAATGGAATTTAATTTAAAATTATGATTAACTAGCTGTTGCTCGCGACATCGTTCGAGAATAATTAAAATAAAAATGTTGTCATCCCGCTCATTTAAAAAATGTAAAAAACAATATTTTTAACACAGAGGAAACTAACTGTTACAATGACCATGTCACCTACAGGCCTAATTTTTTTCATTTCTAGCCACTCTTTTTTTTACAAAGAAGGAAATGGTGGTGAAGATGAACCTCTTACTACACATCCCCTCTACTGTCGATTAAAGGTAAACAGCGCATTCCCAATTGCAGATGTCTATTGTCTAATTCAAGTGGCAATAATTTTTTCTATAAAAAAGCTTTTACTAATCCTTTTAACCCTGATTTGATTAAGAGATTATAGATAATTTTCAGAAGTCTCAAATTGTAAAATTTACCTCAGGTAATGTTCATTGGAACGAATTCTGAGTGATTAGAGCGTAGAAGGTTTTTAATCTCGTTTAATGGAAGCGAAGGACGAGTTTTGTTGGAATTGTGTGCTTGATAACTAGGCTATTTATTTTTCTGTTAGAATTTTACAAAATTCATGGTAGAAATACTTAGTAGATTTTAAAAAAATAACAATTACTTTAAGATAATTTTACTAGATTTAACAATTAGGTGTAAAATAGACAAATTTACAGTATTGCAGATAGATCATGTATTCTTTACAACCAACCTTTTTTTTACTTTAAGAATGCTGCAATATTTTGTTACTTCTGCAACTCCTCTTATCGGCCTTCTGATATTTTTTAGCTTTGAATTTTCATTTATGTACCGTGTTAGCTATTCACAAAACTTAACTGACGGTAACGGATCGTTTTAATTAAGGTAAGCCGTCAACGTGGCTGTCTTGAAGACGTGCTATGAAAAGATCTCTAGTCAACACAAATTAGCTAATTATTTTCCTTTATAAATTAGGCCGGGGTTTTTTGTATCGGTGACGTGTCTCGTTTTATATTTCTCAACGAACAACGAAATATCGATACAAATTCATGGAGGTAGTAAAATTTTAAACGCAATCTCGCAAACGAGCAACCGATTTTTGTATTTTTTTCTCGAATGAATTCCGTTGCAGGCTTACTTTGTGGTATATTTAAAAATTGATTTCATCAAGCATTCAGAATGCAATTATTCTTTTAACCAACAGACTTTATTTGTTATTTTTAATTACTTTACGTTTATGATAGCATAATCTTAAAGTTAGAATAATTCTATTATTGAATAAAAAGGTTACAAATTTCTTCATTCGTATTGTATTCATTGAATAAGATTCTAAAGCTAATTACATTAAATTACATTCGTCCCTCGGTAACCATTTTGACCGGGTTATTGTCGCTTGTCTTTATAAAGGCTTTAAAAGGATTAATTTCGTATAATTCAAAATTTCATGGCCTTAATATTCGAAGCTCAGAACGGGAGAAAGTTGTAATTCAATCTCGCATCGTATGAAACATCTACAGTCGTTTTAATTTTATTGAAAGGTATTAGGAAAATGTACTTGGTCTTACATTAAACAATACAAGAATTGTTGAGATTTGAACGTGAAGAATGAAATTATAACTTCACACTACAAATTTTCAGCATATTAATTACCCTAGATTTTAACATTAAACATGACAGATAGTAAAAAATCAGACGAAAATATAGAGAACTTTAATGATGAAGAATCTGTTAACAAAACAAATAGACTCGTACAATACTGACATTAAAAACTCCACAAAATAAAATAACTTATTCGTTCTAATCTAGCGGCGTATCACGTAATGGAATGGAATAACTCGGTGCTAAATCTCTCATCATGAAACTAGGAGGATCCGTTTCATTCGCATAATTCAAGCCGTTGTCTATCAACAGCATTCTATCTGTATTACCTCTCCTCTTATTGAAAAACCATCCAAATGCTGTAGAAATAAAGTACAAAAGAACACCATAAAAAATACCACTCCACCACCACGTCGGAACTTTTTTTGTCGTTACAGTCACAAGTGTCTTTTTCCATTCACTACAAGATTTACTCGATCCCAAAGTCGTTGTACACACTCTTACAATATATTTTTTGGCTAATTCAGACTTTACTGTCAAACTTGTCTTATTTCTAGATGTACACCACGATTGAGGAATTAAATAATTAATATCGTTTGAACTCAATTTCGGCAAAACCTCTATGTTATAGGATAATATGGGACCATTCGTTTCGATAGGTGGATTCCAATGTACAGTTATGAATCCGTCTGAATTCGCATCAGAAAAAGTGATAATTGGAATATCTGCATCTTTCTTACGTAACGTTCTTACAACATTTCTGGCCGATCTACTGCAATGACTGTCCGTGCAAGCTCGCAAATTAAATTTGTAATCACGAAATGGTGCTAGTCCTCCCACTTGGTATACGTTTCCAGGCCTATTTATATTAATCGATGAACTTTTAATATATTTTCCATAAGTTTCATTCTTTCTTATGATATTTTCGGAGTCACAGTCTAAAGTATAACTGCTGCATATATCAAAATGTTCTTCAATCAAAGCTCCTTCTGTTACTGATGATAGAACTCCGCACATAGATTTGCAACCCTTGTCGTAATTTGGAGGCGGTCTCGAAACAACCGCATGTCTTGAATAGTCTAGTTCATCGTAATCTTCATCTTTGTGTTTGCAGTGATCTCTTGCTGCAATATCTTTAGAACGAATTTCTATTAAATTCACATCCAATTCATAACGTACGATATGAGATTTATAATCCTTGTGATCTACCCAACGTATAACTACATTTTGCGATGAAGAGGCGACTAGTTCCAAGATGAACGGTGGTTGCGGTTTTCCAATATGGGTCTGGAAACTAAGAATTGAACTTCTTGCAAGATTCCGATGAACAGGGTCATACGTTTCAACACAAATTGCATAATTAGAAGCTGGGTGCAATGATGTTAGTTGAATTTCCACTAGCTGGTTAGATACAGTTGGAACGTCTAACACAAACCATTCCGATTCGCTACAACTCTCCGGTACGAATTTCGTAGAATTACCTGGAGGTAATAATACGTAAAGGATTGTATATTGCACAAAAGGATCGGATATGGGTAGAAATCTGACAAGCGCTGATGTTTCATTTATTACAACAACACGAAGCTCCAAAGATATTTCTTGACAACCACCGCTGTATCCGTTCATACCCTGAAGTAGATCAATTTCATTTGGTTGCGTTGGAAATACTTTTAATAGTTCCTCTATATGCCGCATACATAGCATTGGGTTTCCATAGAAATTCACCGTTCCGTTATCAACTTTTAGATTCTGTGTAACATTACCTATGAATAGCGACTGAAGGTTTGGCATATTGTATACAACAAGACTGAATCTTCCGCTTTCTAACTTTTGTCCCCTAATCCGTCTGAGTGAAGGCATGAAATCTAATGACGTCATTTGAACGGAACCATAAATGAGTATGTACTCAAATACCTCTTTCAATTCACTGAGGTACAGTCTCAACTCGGTCACGGCTTCTGGTATGGATGACACGTGAATTGTCAACGAGCCGTTAATGTAGATACAGCGACCTGCTAGCTGTATCGTTTCTAGGTTTTTAATTAACTGACTGCCGCATACCTAAAAGAATAAATTTTATATAAACTTACCTTACCGGTAGAGATAAATCTAGAAAGATATGAATAGATTTCGTGAAAGGTGTCATGATCAAGGAGGAAGTGATGACCGAGATTTCGAAAGATAGTTAACGTTGAGGACGAAAACCTCTAGAAGTAGAAAAGGGACAGGGTGATGAAGACAATGATAAATTTCAACCTGATAGCTTCTGTACAAGAACACATTAAAATAAAGGAAAGTAGAAAGTTTACAGAACTTATTACGAAGAATACAACCTACAAAACAATGGAAGGTTATGAAAGCTTATAAATAGCATTAAATACTAAATGAAGGTGCAAGTATTGTGGTATTTGTTACAGTAGCAGACGTTAATAATAACGAATGAAGTTTGTAGTAAACTTGCGTGTGAATTTATCTCTAAATAGAAGGAAATAGTTATTCCCGGCACACAATAAATGTAACTAACGATCTCGTAAACGTTTTCAGTTTAAAAGCTTAATGTTAGATGTTGATTCACGTTTATTGTACGATGCAGTCAAAGCCGTTTATGGTGCTTTGGAGCGCGCGCACACCTGTGACTAAACAATCGGACAACTGTTAGGATTCGCTTATTTACCAAGAAAACTTCGCCATAAAATTAAGCGCCAACAACCTAAAGGTTTGAGGTAGGGACTAAATCTTGCGGTCGAGGGTTCGAATCCCGCCTTTCGACTATTGTCAACCATAAAGCACAAGCCTAGAGCTTAGTTAGAATGGTAAAAGAATTATTAGTAAATTAACAAAAACCTACTAATGCAAAAAAAAAAATACGGAGAAAAATGTCATTCTTTTGTTTAAAAAATATAATTATAATCAACAAATCGAAATTTTGATAACCACCGACCGTCTGCTATTTAATGTTTTTCTTACCTCTGTACAGTTTTTACAGAATTCACAGGTGGAGATGTTTGATATATTTACTTTCACGTAATTCAATGGACATTCGAATACACAAGTATTATTCCAGGACCATCCGCCGATCTTAACACATTCCTCATCGGGCAAACAATATGAATTTGCAGGTAAAACCACTCTGAAATAATTACAATTTATATTAACTGTTGATATTTCCATTTTCATTTATGAGTAGGTTCTATATTATGACTGAAATAAATATATCTTTGAAGTCGTAATCTTCATATTGGAGGTTCTCGACCCTTGACCATCTCTAACCATATTATTAATAAAACCGGGCACACACCTTTGGCACAACTAACACACAACTGCTGTGCGATAGACGATTGTTTTAGTGTCATTCATTGTGCGCACCTCCTTATAAGCTCATAGGAATCAAAGCGAAACTATATGTGCGATAATTTAGTTTCAGGTGTGCGCAAGCTCTAAAGAAGAATAATAATGGATCACCATTCCTCTCGATCCTCTGTTAATAGTCATATAATAACACTACAAGGATATACTTACGCAAAACGTTCAACAAAATTCTACACGAGTACAAGGAATAAAATATTATTTGTTACCCGTAAAATTTTTGAACAAGACGCCATTGATTGTGAACAAACACTTAAAGACTATAACTTACGTTCCATTGGGACAGTCGGAGACACATTGCCCCCTGAACGTGTAGTGTCGGCACACAGAGCAATCGCTGCTATTTGTCTTACGACAACCGAGACATTGGCTTTTACATTTTTCACCTTCTGGCCCGTCGAGGAAACGTTGGCACTTTCTGAAAATATATAATCATTGTGGTAAATCGAAGAATCTAAATCGTTTAAAAACTATCGTGATAAATTTAAACAGTTCAATTCAAACTTTACATCAAATCATACAAATTCCCGAACAGCATTTTTATGTATTTCAACCTTTTGTGTTTAAAATTAACTGACAATTACATCCATGTCTAGTAAGATAGTAAACTGATCATTACTGTTGTTCAATAACATTAAACACAGTACTTGATATTCCAACAGCGATTGGTAACTGGGTTCCGTGAACATCTGCAGGCAATGTCGCACTGAGCATGCTTGTCCACGTCTAGAACATGTCTATATCCAGGCGCTATCGCTTGCCAGTCGACAGTATCTATCCAGCAAGCTTGTGTGGCCCCCCATACGATAACACCTCCTCTATCGATCTTGAGAAGATTGTATAGTCCGATCTGTGAAAAGGTTTACTAAGAATCAACAAGCCCCAATTGAGAAAAAATAATCTTCTGTGACAACTAAGAGCACGCGCACACCTTTGACTAAAATAATGCACAATTGTTTGGTCGTGCTTTGATTATAGGAATCTAGCTATATAGCTTATATGGAGATGCGCACACTACTCGATTTTAGTTGTACAACTAAATAACGGATAACAGTTTCATCAAGAACTTTACAAGATTATATATCGCCTATCTTTTTTTACATCTAAACCCAATCATTTTATTCACTTTAAATTAAATTAGACTATAATTGGAATCATTGTAATAGACCTTCTGAACTATTTAAGGTTATGACTCCTGACTCCTGTCTGTAACAAATTGCCCTATTACTTTGACCTTGTCTATTGCCAGCGACCTTTAATATTTAGAAAACTGATTGCATGATTATGATTTTAGAACTGATTTTAACAAAGTGTTCATATTGTGTGTTAAAAAACCGTCACATACCTCTCTAAGATTCGGCATATCGTGAATAATGAGGGCATAGTTGTAAAAAAGATGATTACCCCGGATCCTTATTAAGTTTGGAAATAATTGACCTAAACTTTCCAAACCACGTACTCGGTATACCAACAGGAAACCTGTAATCTACCATTAAAAATTACTATAGAGAAAATTTACCCAGAATGCGCTTCTGTGTAATATTTATTAAAAGAAGTAACAAATGCGGTACCTCTTTGAGTTGAGGAAATGAAACATTTTCGAAATCATCCCGCTTGGTTCTCTCAAGAACCACAACGTGTAGGTTGCCCAGAATAACGGTACAATTCTTCAATCTACTCAAAGCTTCTATTGTGTTGCAGAACATACTTTTGCAGATTCCGTGATGGTCGAATGAACGTGGAATTCGTAAATTCGTATTGTTTTTCTGGCAACCACATAACCCGATTACTGTAAAAACTGCCAACCTGAAAACAAAATTTCTTCTATAACGCCTAAGATTTTTAAAAACTTCCTTTGCCTCATTTTTGATTTTGAAATTGGAACACAGAGTTCAATAATTTTGAATAATATCCACGCGTAAATTACAACAATAATTAAAAAATATTAAAAAAATTACCTACTAAAATAAATTTAATTTTGTAGAATGTGAGAGTGGTTTTAATATACAAGTAAGCTCGAATACTAAGTGCCTAAGCTTAAGTTTTTTTAAATTGGATATTTAAAATTAATATCAACACATTGAAACTTGTACCAGCTTAATATTTTCGTCGCCATGACACTTTTAACTTTTTCCCGCCAAATTTCTTATATTTCTTCAGCGCTTTTGGTGTAGATCTTTTTATTAAGAGCCGACGGATAAATTTCAAGTACGCGTATCTTCCGCCAATGAATGGAAAACACATTTTATATTCGTTTCATGTCCTTTTGCTTTAATTTATTAACTGTGAACTGTCATCTGTAAAAATATTTGTCTTCGTCAAAACCGGAAACAAACCTACAAATAAACATACCTACATATTAATTTAATTATTAATATTAGTACTCTATTATTTATTTTCTAGCATTTTATTCGTCGCGTAGCATTTTCCGTGATAAATAAGTTTACATAGTAACCTTAAGTTTGTCTATAAAAGCAATAATAACGTTAAGGGTGAGAACGTTAGTTATGAGACTGGAAGGGTACACCGGTGGACCTAGAAAGAGATGGATGGATTGCGTGAAAGGTGAGTAGGATAAGGAGATGACGATAAACAGCAATAATAACCATCAAACTGAAATATTATTATAATACAATTTCATAATTAAGTCAATATTATTAATCATGCTAATATGGATGAACGTTTGTTAGAGTTTGTAGTCTAAACGGCTGAATGGATTTCTTTGAAATTTGGTATAGATGTAGAGGATAGTCTGAAAGAACACATAGGCTACTCACTTTTGTTTTTTATTAATACCAAACAGACGGAATCGCGGACGAAAGCTAATAGTAAATAATTATACGTACTAAAAAACGAATACTGACCGTATACATAAATTATTAGCGAAGTATTTTATCACTGACTGGAATGTAACCGTCAGCCGACCTCAATCTAATGAACTGATGACTAATTAGTAACAAGGAAAAGCTGTAATAAACTATTTCTACACTAACTATAGTGCAAAATGACCCGATAGTGTGAAGGTTTCCCTGCAACTGACTTCAATTGGAGTTAGTGCAAATTATTTAATTACCAATTTTTATTTCGATGGACTCTTAATATAGGATGGCAGGGAGGTGGAAGGTTAGGTGTATACAGGATGTTCAACGATTCTTAATTAAAATTTTTCTTTGCAGTCGATGAGATAAACAATACATCTTTTAATTTTTCTTCACAAAGGTTAACGTATTGATCTCCTCTTGTCATGTTAATACTTATTTTAAGGAAATGAAAAGCTGATATTAGAGCCTGGGATTGTTACCTTATTCTCTAACATTTTTAATTCCTCAACAAATGCATAAAAACACACAAAATAAAGGGAGTTTCGAGCAAAGGAGGAGGTAAAAGGGAAAAGCTCTTATCCATTATATTCTTTACACGGGGACAAGGAGGTTCCAATCAAAAAAAGCAACCTAAGTAATTAATGAATATTGGATAGCATCTAACATTTGCATGTTCTTCACAAATAACATTTTATACCATGTTATATAAAATACGGCGAGTATATTAAAAAGAAACGCGCATACTTTAAATGTAGCAAGTTACGTTTCCGATTCAATTTTTTCTAAAAAAAAGATGATATATTTTTTCATCTGCGCTGCGACGCGACGGGCTCGCGGGTGAGTAGTTGTTCTTGCAAAATATCCGCCTGTTATTTTAATCTTCGCTCAGTAAAGTGTCTCGGCTGTAATAAAACCGCCTGTATAACCGTAAGACCTGCAGGTCAAGTGGTTTTAACGAGCGATATTGCATTTTGTGTCGCTACAATATACAACGCGCCGTCGAGTGCATGTTACCCGGAGGATCTCAGAGATGATACTAAATTTTCTTTCATGAATACATATTAAAAATTTTTCAACAAACCCTGTCTTGTACAATGAAAGATCTGTTTGTACTTTACAGACTCTTGTGAAGATTTATTCTTTATTTACGTACTTACTTTTAATAAAGTTTAAGTAATTGTTATAGAATCCATATTTCACTTACAGTGCAATTTCTATTCCAAAATTAACTATAACGTTATAAATAATTTATTTTAAACTAGAAAACCTGTTGGTTGGTATTAAATTAATTTAATCGCTGGGTATGGTAGCTCGTGGTGGGGTGGTGTGTTTAGAAACAAAACCAGCTTACTGGTAAAACAAAACTATAAGCTTGGTTTTCGAATCCGAATACTCAACTACGAATTTGAAGCAAGGTTGCAGATGTGTCGCGTCGTCTACCCTTAAATAAACACAGTAGGGGATGTGTAGAAAAAGTTTAAATTGATTTTTTTGATACAAGCCATGTTTAGGTATCCATTATTAATACTTTTCCCTAAGTGCTAAGATAATACGTTGCTGACAAGCCTATAATATACGAACCATAAACAAAACGATACCAAAGAGTAAATTAATGATGTCATATGTCAAAGTCAAATGTCATTCGAAAATATCAGCAAATGTCACTTCAAAAATACATGTTGTTGTTGTTGTTAACATTTAAAGAAGAATACTTTAACCATTTTAATTGTATCTCAAAGGTTGTTACTCCAAAAATAAGTTTATCATGAATGTTCCGTTAACGAAAAAACAAAGGTTCTGTTTTTGATATATTTGTCGGCTCACATAACCATTCTTGTATTAGCAAAATAGCAATGGTTTTCATAATATACTTGAAATTTTTCTATTAAAAATATATAACGTGTTTACTTACTAATATTTTCACAATTTACAACACTGAGGAGTGTAAGAAGCGGAGTAAGTAGTTGAACAAAAGGAGAACTATAGTTTCTTATTAATTTCTCACACTTTTAAAATACCCGTTTACATTGGGATATTGCTTAGTACATCTAAAAAATGTACAAAGTTATATCGTTTTAGATCCCTAATATGGTATGAACTTTTATTTTAACCAAATAAATTACATTTAAGATAATCTATGTTGCTAAATAAGGTATCGGTTATTATACACCTTAAAATGTTGAGATATTTTAAGTTAAAAGAGAGTCAGTTTCATACAAAACAGATAATATATTTCCAATTCACAGTGGTTTGTACAGTTGCAAAAAACTGTAGTGTTTGTCTTTAGGAAAAGTGCCTCTTTTAACAAATACATTATTAGATAGAAGTAGTGCAAATAAATGGTAAAACTATAACAATGATAGAGCCTGCTTTATCATCTTCGCATGAATGGGCCGGCTCGCCCTGTGTAATAAATACCACGACCACACAGAAAACAGGTGTGAAGCAATTTTTCGTTTCGTCTGATGAGTGTGATGCCGGAATCCTTATTTTAATCCCTTGCCATCCTTTTTCTTAAAAGGAAAGAATGGGAAGGAAAAGTGGATTTGACGGTGGAAGAGACGCGTAGGAAGGGGAAATATTCTCTTTATGTGCATCTCCTCCTCTGACAATTAAGGGTTGGCAACGCATCTGCAATTGCGGATATTTATGGGCAGTGGTCGCTTTTCATTTCGGTGGATTCAGGTGGCCGCTTGATCGTTTGCCATATTATACTATAAAAAAAAATGAACTAGCCCTGTATAACTATGTCTTTTCTATTAAGATACATTTATAAGCTTTCTTGTATTGATTTTTTTTCAAGTTTTGTTTCCAACTGTTCAAATAATTGTATCTTTTTTGGTGGAACACAGCTAATTACCCAGACTGTATATCAATGTAAATAAAGACTGCTATATTTACATTTTATGTCATTGTAATATATTCTTTTTTCATTTTGCAGATATAGAGGACGTAAAAAGAAGAAGTTTTTGGAGCAAGGTAAAATATTTGCTCCCACTTTTCAAAGATCTCCAACAAAGGTACCATTCTGGGAAGATGTTAATGTACAAGGGAATAATAAAGTAAACAATATAAAGAAAGAGAGTACTAGTGCAGTTATTGAAATGAATACTTCAATACAGCATGTACCAGAGTTGACCGATGATACATCACCTTCAATACCTCTAGCTCAAACACAGGCACTGAAGACTCCGTAAGTTTATTCACATTTGAAACCATTTATTGTTATAAAAATAGCTAAAACCCAATTGTTACAGTGTTTTAGCTACTTTTGGACCCCTTCCCCTGGCAACATGATTCAAAGACTACCCCCTGCCCACTAAATTTGAAATATTAATTATAAAATCAGGCCACTCCCCCTTTCCAGCTTCATAAGAGTAATACCTAAAAGACAGACAGAAATTAAGAGACACAACTTTGACAACTATTGCACAACTGTTTAGTGTCGCTTTTGATCCCTGTGAACATATGGAGGTTACTACAATACTTGATTTTCAGTTAAGCACAACAGTTCTCCGATAGTTTAGTCAAGGGCGCACACACAATATTCATTCATGTCCCATATACCATATTAATTTTTTATAGTGTGTAACTCACGTAAATTTTAAGCTGTTATTTAACCAATTTATGAAAATATTCTATTGTATTTTATCCATCTGAGTTGATTAAATTTTTTTCCAGACAAGCATTGAAAAAACCTTTACTACACATACAAGGGAAAACTCAAAAAAAATTTAAATTCAATCAAAAGCAACAAGAGCAGCCTCTTATTGAGCAAAATAAAGAACAAAATGCAACAATAAATCAAGAAAAAATTGAAACATCAAATAAAAATCAATATGAAGAACAAAATAAATCTCTGAATACAACACATGTCAATGAGTATATATTGGATATACAAAATCAAGCAAAATCAGGTACCAATCATACTAATATTATAAATGCGAAAGTTGAGATGGTTGGATGTTTGTTAGAATTTGTAGCCTAAACCGTTTAACGGATTTCCATGAAACTTGGTATGGATGTAGGAGATAGTCTGGACGAACAAAGGCTCCTCACTTTTGTTTTTTTAATTCCACGGACGGAGTCGAGACCGAAAACTAGTATTATATAATTAATCAATTTTAATATTTAATTTAGGTTCTATGTTTAATGGATTCTCAATTTAATTGGGCCCATTAAAATACATATCTAACGGCCGAATACTGAAATGACATTATGTTTATCTATCTATATCTATACTATTATAATAAAGCGTAAACACACTTCTTTGTTGCCTAAGATGTCAGCAATACAGCATATTTTTGAATAATTCCTTTTTTAATGAAAAGCCCTACACTTCGTCACTAAAATTATGTACTAGTACGTTTTCCCAATTGTACTAGTACGGTGCGCACTTGCAAATGTCCGATTAAGCCCAAGACTAGAAGGAACTAAGGTACTGACGGCTAGAGAACATGTTAGCGGCTGCGCGACTGAGAGACTAAGCGACTCAGCGACTTGCAAAGATTTTTATAAAATTGCCCCCCATTCCGTTTCTATTATTGTAACACTATGTTAACAGGCTATATTTTTTTATTTTAATTTCACGCGGACATCACAAGCAACAGCTAGTCAATATTAAAGACACATTATAATTTCAAGAAATTGATATCTCATGTTTCGTTTCAGAATTCGACCTTTATTGACATAATTCTGTGATATGCCATGTGTGGCCTTATTTGACTGTTGCGTTATGTTTATTTTCTAGATAATGAAGGATATAGAGGATTGCAAATTCCAGTTTTAATGAAACAACCTCTCTCCAACATGAAAAATAGTGACACAAATTCAAATAGTGTTCTCAAGACAATACCTATATTAACTAATCAAGGTAATTATTTAGTTTACACTGTATAAATACTTGTACAATAACATGTTTTTATTTTGATATTTACAGTCAGAGTGAGTAGGATATAATGCTTTATTAATTGTTTTCACTTTAAAATTATATGTATAGGAATGTATGTAATGTGTTTACATTTACTAAACTTGAGAATAGGCAATATGCATATGACGCCAAATTGTACCAAACTTTTTTTAAGTATACTTTATTACTATAAAAACAGTCCTGCAAAGATTTTTTTAAATATAATGTGATTTAGTGGCAAAATTTAATCATTAAAAAGTGTCTTTTTTCAAATGACCTCGCCAAGTTCTAAAACGCAGACTATTGGTCGAAGCAAGTGGCTTATCTAATATGGCGTCGCTGTGTTGACAATACACAGTTCATTTACGTTAGTTTATATTATTACGTACGTTAGTTTATTTTATTACGTTACGTTAGTTTATGAAATACACTCTTAAAGTATTTTACTATAAACACGATGTCAAAACCAACTTTAAAATAAAAAATTAATGAATAGAAATGATTAATTACCACTTATTTGTACCAGGAATAATAAATATGAATCGATTTTTGACTTTTTGACCTTGAGAAACTTTGTTGTGTTTTACTTTGAAGTGACATCTAAGCGTAAGTTATGCATGGAATAGACGATTGACGTCAATCGTCTCATGACAACTCCGGTCGCGTTTTAGTCGCTCGAAAATGGTCGTAATTTTATTTTATTATTTTTAGCTCAATAGTTGAATATTTTCGCTTCAATTTTTTTTGTGGTTATTTTATAACAAGTAGAATCGTTTAAAAAAAAGAAAAAAATACATGCATATTCCCTATTGTATAGACATTCGGTTTTTAATATAAACATGCATATATTCATTAATAGTATGTATTGAAAGTTAAAAATATATGGATGGACATGTACTAATTTCTAAAGCTTTTTAAATGTATTTATTTATGCAGCTGATGTACAAATGAAGAAGCCTGCTTAGATATCCATCATACCAATAATATAAATGAGAAAGTTTAGATGGATGAATGTTTGTTAGAGTTTGTAGCGTAAACCGCTGAACGGATCTAGATGAAATTTTGCATATATGTAGAACATACACTAGAACACATAGCCTAATTTATTTTTCCACGCACGGAGTCGTATTCAAAAGCTAGTCTATAGTAATATTATAAAGAGGAAGACTTGTATTTTTGGATTGAAATGACTAAAAAAATATTAGGCCGATTTTAAAAATTCCTTCGCCGTTAGAAAAGTAATTTATTTGTGAGTAACAGAGGCCATGTTTTTTTATTATTTTTTTAATTCCACGCCGACGGATTCGCAGGCGAAAGCTAGATACATCTAAGGTTCCAACACATGTGGTTATTAAAATATCGTCTATGCATTTATAGGTGTTTCAGTGAAACCAAAGAAAACGGCAAGCACATCAAACCCAGCAATCAATGCATACCAGAACTTGCAGAATGTTGTATGTCCACCAATGAGTGAGTTTCTTTCCAAGTAATTGTTTTAAAGAAAAACATGGTTAATATTCTTTTTTAATTATTACCTTATTTCAAAACTGTTAGAAATATTCCATTGCACACGGCAATTGCGAATGTCTATGGGCAGTGGTCGCTTCACACATCCGGCGGTTTCAGGTGACCGCTTGCTTGTCACCTGAATAATATAAAAAAATCTATATTTATTTTAATCACACTTTGTATTTGTTTATTTTTTGTATCTTCTCCCTCGTGTAACGAAATATGTCTAATTTGACGCTTTATTATAATTGTAATTCAAGTTGCTTATTATTTACATTAAAGATTGCGTATTCCTTTCATTGTTTGTGTCACAAATGTTTCAGTGAACCCTAATGATTATCCTACAGCGGATTTAGAACTATTGTATCACAGAATCTATGCTCCGGAACCCATTAATATACCTCGAAGTAAGTATATAACGTGCGGGCCGGTCTCACAATTCTTGTAAACTGTCAGATAACAATCCAACGTGTCAAATATGTGGAAGTATCGGATTTTGGTACTCGGATCTGAGAGTGCCGTCACTTTTAAGCTATCTGAGCCTTTATCAGCCAGTAGTGGGATAGGCCCTAACAATTTTATTATATTTAAATAACAACTTTATTGACGTTATCAGCCGATGATTTAGGTTAATAATAATAATAAAGTCATTTAATCCATTCAGAAGGCAAACATCATACACTTAATTACACAGTTGACAAAAATAATGACGGAGGAAAAGAAAGTTTTACAAACAACAACAAAAAATATACAAATACACAATAATAAGCATCAATAAAAAAAATCATAACTTTCAAGATTTTTTTTTAACTAAGTTTGCTATGCTGAATGGATAAGGACTTTACTCAGCTAAGTGCTTATTACAGTATAGCAATAAGCGCTGGTATTCTGTAAAAAGCCTTTTGTGGCAGTACGTCAGTTGCAGCATTAAATAAATAAAAAAATGATAGTCATGTTTATAAGTGAAATGGAAAAGAGAGGGAAAATAAAATAAAGCAAAAAAGTGATATATCGCACTAATATCTATACTGTAAAAGGCGTGTTTAATTTATATGCGGAAATAATGAAAACAAGTATACAAGAAAATTTAAGTAAAATCTGGGCACATAACATTTGGTCTTATTTATAATAGTTTTTATGTCTATTTCACACTTTTGAAGTCGCAAAGGCAGTTATAGTGGCATATTTTTTATTAATTTTGAATATTGTTGGTTTCAGGTGTTTTGCCGAGAGGTAAGGAATTTACTATTAAAACAAATTTAGTGTTTTCTTTAGTAATTTTTTCTATTTTATTTAATACACGCAATTTATAAATGTAATCTATACTTCTGTTCTATATTCTATATTCTTCTGTTCTATATAATAAAATAAAGCGTAAACACATATTACTTTGTGGCGTAGGATGTCAGCAATCACGGCATAAGAAGCTCTACACTTACAACACGTTTAGGCTATATATTGTTAGGCTATAAAACTTAGGGGGCAAATAATTGGGAAAAAAACTTCATGTGGAAAAGGGACCATGTACAACAAGCTGCCATCATTAAGGAAACAAGGTTATAGTAACGGAAATTTTGACATTTGCTAAAATTTGACAGATGTAAACAATAAGCTAATAACAGCTAGTTTATAATATATTAAAATAAATAACTTTATAAGTGATTTTCTTTGATAATCGGATTTATTTAGTAATATGGTTTTTTTATTTGCTAGGAGTGCCGATGTCATTTGTGATTCAACAGGCAAACTTTGGAGCGATCCAACCTCAGAGTAAGTTGATTTATTTTTTTTTATAATTTGTGAGCGTTTCCCGTTCAATCGGCCAAACGGGAAACATCCCAATTAGTGTCAAAAAATTAATAAGTTATTCAAATGAGTCTATTAGTAAAAATAATATTTATGTTTTGTCCAGGCTTTAATTTTTATTTAAAAAATAAAATAGAAAACACATAAAAATTCTAATCGTTCCATAGACCATTAATTACTATAAAACAATAATAATCTAGATAGTGTTTTATTTTTAAAAAGTTATGCAATTCAATAGTTCCAATAATAGTATAACTTCTATTATTTTAAAAGCAAAATATTTCCAGGTTGCAGGCCTAACAATCCAGGTCTAATGACACAAATAATGCCAATACCACCTGACCAACCGGCATATCTCCAACAATTGTATACAGAAAATAATTTCCGTACGAACACATCGACGTACGTAAGCAATGATGTGCCGGTCACGATCCCATCCCAACCTTATTCACCTTCGGATAACTTTACAGAAGATGGTGAACCTAATAAAGTTAATGAAGGTAAGTATAACAGCAGTTCAATACATATATTAAAACTAAAAGGTAAATAAACCAATTAAAAAACGGCAAACGCATAAAAAACGATTAAAAAAATCTTGCCATTAGTCTTCTAAGTAGAAATATTCCTAATCGTTGAATAATTAAAGTTTGTTTCCTTAAAAATTGCTTTACGTAGTTATTTTTCTTGTTAACTCTAACTGTATCAAGTTTAGTTGGATGGATAGATGTTAGAGTTTGTAGCATAAACGGATTTCGATTGAATTTGATATAGATGTATAGATATATATCTGTTTTGTTTTTATTTTTTAATTCGATCGAATTTCACTGCAACGATTTTTATCTTATCTTACTAATATTATAAATTCGAAAGTTTACATGGATGGATGGATGGATGGATGTTTGTAAGGGTTTGTAGCCTAAACGGCTGAACGGATCTCCATGAAATTTGGCACAGGTTTAGAGCATAGTCTGGAAGAACACATAGGCTACTTTTTATCCCGGGAATAGTTACGGTTCCCGTGGGATTCATTAATTTAGTTTTTTAATGTTTACTCGATCATTCTGCAACGGTTTAACATATCTTAATGAAATTTGGCACAGATATAAAACAAAGTCTGGAGTACACATGTGATAAGCTTCATCCCCGAGGTGTCCGCTTCCCGAGGGATACGTAGCTTTTAATTTATGTAGTTTGTATGTTTTCTAATACAACGCAGACGAAGTCGCGGGCAACAGCTCGTTATGTATAAATATTGCACAGAAAAGTATATTTTTGTTACATTTTCATTTCAGAAGTACGCGATAGTTCGTCATCACCTGACTTATGTGAAGTGGGACAGAGACGTCTCAGTGCGTTCGACAGACTTGGCCCTTGCGCTCAGCCTAAAAAACCTAAACTGACTATTAATCTGAGCTTCAACAAAGAACAAGCCACCAGGTAATAATATAATTCATTAATATTTTATTTCATTTATTCCCTTGTTCTTTGACTTTTTTATTCATTCATTGAACACTACCACTGGTCGTTTAAAGATTCTGATATGTGACGAAAAAAGGAATAGTAATTGTAAAGCAAGGTGTTTCCCGTTGGACCTTTCGACCTATTGGTCGGTTGGTTGAACTCCCCTTGAGTCGATTCAAACGGTTCAATGGGAATAAAATTCCCTCTGAGTTCGATGTCATACGATTTATACATTATCATAAGTTGTATTACTTAAAAATAGCTGTTTTGACACCGTTATTTTTTTAAGCAAACAGTTTTGTTAAAATCTTATGTCTATTATGTATTTTTCATAGGGAGGTAGTGGGTGAGGATGAATCTAATAAGTATGTGCCCGTACATTTGCGAGAGGACATAATAAACAGTTCAGATGATATTGTGATGACGTATTTAGACAGTTGGCCGTGGAAGAATAACATCGTTGTAAGGAAAAGTGTCGGCGCCAGAGTTTCTAAGGTATTCTCCAGTGGTATTTTGATAATGGGATGATAAGTACTTGCTTCCCCCTCTTGATCATTAGCTTGCTCCCCCCCTCTTGATAATTAGCATGCTCCCCCCTTGATCATTGGCTTGCTCCCCCCTCTTAATCATTGGCTTGCTCCCCCCTCTTGATCATTGGCTTGCTCCCCCCTCTTGATCATTGGCTTGCTCCCCTCTCTTGATCATTGGCTTGCTCCCCCCCTCTTGATCATTGGCTTGCTCCCCCCTCTTGATCATTGGCCTCTCCTCCCTCTTGATCATTGGCTTGCAAACTGACATTTCCTTTCCAGTCGCGCAGCTGTCTAGTAGAATTAGCCATTAAACTGAGTTATTCTGTTTCAGAGTGTAATGATAATGGAACAAGAACAAATGGAGGAGGTGTACGAGAGGAATAATATATTTATTCAATTAACTGTCAAAGGATATCCTACCACGTGGAGTAAGGAAGACGTATTGGACACTTTGCTGGAGAATCTAAAAGGCAAAAGTTTTGTGCCTTGCTTCATAGAGGTATGTAATAATTACATATAATAAAACACTTTTTTCTGACCATATTGATGTTTTTATGAATTAACTTCAAACTTCAGATTTATTAATTGCTACCTAAAAGACCCTTAGTGTACAACTCTCATACTAAATCTAGACCAAAAGTGACTACAGATTTCACAATTTAAATAAAAAAGTCAGCTTTAAAATTGAATTACACTCCAGTCTTTGAAAACTCAGTAGTTATTCGTCTACTCTAAAACCTTTTTTTCACTAACCGCGATCTCCTATTTCTAAGCGCTATATTTATTTGCAGTGGATCCAGCATCTAATTGTAGTGGAAAATAAGCGTTGTCTTAACATTGTCATTTTAAATTTTTACATTTAAATAATTAATTCTAAGATATGTTATCGATATGAGGCTTGAAACACAAATGTCGAGATCCTGGGTGTTTACCATTTTCCATGTCTTCAAATACATAGAGTCAATCGGCTCAAAGGGAAAAACTTTTTTAGGCCAATCGATCGTAGGGCCGATCCCTCCAAAAGTGTTATCCTCGAAGCTGCATTAGACATTACTCAGATCATAAATAGTAATAGGGAATATGCCTGTATTTTTTTTCTTATTTTAAACGATTCTACTTGTAATAAAATAACCACAAAAAGATTTGACGCGAAAATATTCAACCATGGAGCTAAAAATAATAAAATAAAATGACGACCATTTTCGAGCGATTAAAACGCGACCGGAGTTGTCATGAGACGATTGACGTCAATCGTCTATTCCATTCATAACTTACGCTCAGATGTCACTTCGGCGTAAAACACAACAAAGTTTCTCAAGGTCAAACATTCAAAAATCGATACATTTTTATTATTCCTGGAACAAATAAGTGATAATTAATAATTCTATTTATTAATTTTTTATTTTAAAGTTGGTTTTGTTATCGTGTTTACATTAAAATACTTTAAGAGTGTATTTCTATATAAACTAACGTAAATGAACTGTGTATTGTCAACACAGCGACGCCATAATAGATAAGCCACTTGCTTCGACCAATAGTGTGCGTTTTAGAACTTAGCGAGGGAATTTGAAAAAAGACACTTTTTAATGATTAATTTTTGCCACTAAATCACATTATATTAAAAAAAAATCTTTGCAGGACTGTTTTTATAGTAATGAAGTAAACTTAAAAAAAGTTTGGTACAATTTGGCGTCATATGCATATCTTATATATGGGATATGGGATTTTTAAACTGATTTATTCATAAAATCTCTAGTAACCTGAACCTGGTTTTAGTTCACACCAATGGAATGTAAGTTCCTGGTTATAAGATGTCGTCCAGCTCTTGTCGCCTTACACAAGTTGGGGTTCGCAGCGCGCCGCGGTGACGTCATACTGCATATTACCATATACGATATTGACTTAGATATCAAAACGCTTAATTTCCTACCCAAAATAGTGCTGCGGCAGCGAATAATGCACGGCCTCGAACATCAGAATAAATTGAATCTGCAAGAGTTTACATTACAATCAGGTAAGTTTATTATTTTATGTATTGTATCTATCTTACTTCTCACTAATATTATAAATGCGAAAGTTTAGATGGATGGATGGATGGATGGATGGATAGATGGATGTTTGTTAGCGTTTGTAGCCTAAACGGCTGAACGGATCTCCATGAAATTTGGCACAGGCTTAGAGCATAGTCTGGAAGAACACATAGGCTACTTTTTATCCCTGGAATAGTTACGGTTCCCGTGGGATTAATTAATTTGATTTTTTAATGTTTACTCGATCATTCTGCAACGGTTCAACATATCTTATTGAAATTTGGCACAGATATAAAACAAAGTCTGGAATACACATGGGATAAGCTTCATCCCCGAGAAATGTCCGGTTCCCGAGGGATACGGAGCTTTTTGCAATTTATATAGTTTGTATGTTTTCTAATACCACGCATACTAAGTCGCGGGGAACAGCTCGTACTAATATAAGTAGTAAGCACACTACTTAGTTATGTAGGATGTCAGTAATCAAATCACACTTTTGAAAAAAAAAAATAATTATAACCCAATAAAATTTAGGAGGTGAATAATATGGTAAAAAACCCGGGCGTGAAATGCGGGTTCATATTGCCGCACGGGAACAGCTAGAATCCGATAAAAGTTTTAAATTGTGTTGATAATAGAATTATTATTTCCACAAATTTAATCTGATTATATTGGATTTCATCCTTATTTTTTATTTCTTGTTTTCAGATATAAGCCACTTTATTTACTATCCACTGAATCGTATAAGTAATCAAATCGGTATCATAGAGTTGCACGTGTCAATTGTATGGAAGAATCTAACACATCTCGTGTTATCTCATAATAGAATTACGTAAGTAATGCTTAAATTTAAAAACAAATAGGATTCATAAAAAAGCTAAAAATGTTACTTTGATCATTGTGTAGAAGGGTGTTTACTGTTGAGCCGATTGAAAACATAGAATCAGTGGGCCCAATAAAAAAAAATCTACTGAGTTTATTAAACACATTAATACAATCGGCCAAATAGGAAAACGTCCTAACGAGTCGATTGAAACCATAGGATCAATCGACCAAATGGGAAAATAATTCCATCCGATGATCGGTAGAACGGTTCAAAGGGAAACATTCATGTATGTTGAAATAGTTATTTTCCACAGTTCTATAGAAGGTTTCGACTTGCAACATAGTTCACCGCAGCTGCAATACTTGGACGTGTCTTACAACTGTATGGAGCGAGTGACGGCGCTCCTGAACTGCAGGAAGCTGCCGCTGACCTCGCTGATGCTGGAGGGGAACCCGCTCTGCTCAGACTATAGAGACCCTCAACTATATGTCAGAGTAGCGAGGATGCTGTTTCCAATGCTTAGGGAAATTGTAAGTATTAATGATTTTTTTATATTGTAATTATGTACTTAAGTCCATAATTCTAGCTAATTGCTAAAACGATATTAAATTAAACTGTTTAAATTTTCGTGAGGCATTATCTTCACCGGAAGAGTGAGAGTTGACCCGTCTTTAATTCGTTTAAGATATTTAAATACGTTACAAGTAATTGTGTTTGAAAGAATACGTCTGAAGGATATCTGGGCCGATGAATGCGATTGCAGTTTGATCTGTCAGAAAATGTTGAAACCCCAAGACACAGAAAATGACATAAAATAACAATATCACAAATATCTTATGACACTTTTGACCTTGACAGAGTGTTTTTTACAACTAAATCAATCACACAATGACATAGGAAAATAGTAAACAAGTATACACAAAACCGATAAATCAACTAACAAGTGCATAATAACATGATCAGAAATAATTAATTAAAGTTAATTTTTCTAAGGATTGTAATATTTTAGTTTGACTTTGCCATCAGCTCAGATGTCCTTGGAGGTCAATTATTATTGATATAAATATTTTTTATTCTAGGACGGGATACAAATACCGATTAAAGGCGATTTTCCAAAAATACACAAAAACTACTGTGATATTGAAGCTAAGGCACTCGTAGACAAATTTCTAGAGACGTACTTCCCTATAATGGAATTGCCGCCTCATGAAAGAGATTTAATTGGGGACATGTATGACGCAAACGCCATTTTAACTGTCACTTATAGATCTTCTTTATGTAAGTAAATATTTTAAATACTACTAGAAATAGTGTATAGCAATATGAATTTGTATTCGTTCAACAATTTTTGAATACAAAAATGTGATATGTGTATTTTTAGTAAAGTTTATAATTTCTTTTTTTAATATGGTAACAAAAGATAGTTGAACAATGAGTTTGACACTGCGACATACGGAAAAAAATATGTTTTTTTTTTTTGATGTTTCCCGTTGTAGCGATCGGTCCATCGATCAATCGGCCCTAGAAGATTTTACCGTTGGGATGATCAAATCTATATAATAGATCGCCTAAGTTTAAAATGAATACCAACGGGAAACGCTCATATTACCTGTAAAAAATAAAGGTTATATATTTAATTTTGTGTCGCAGTAAGTATGTCCGAGTGGCGCAGGAACCGCGCCTTGTTCCTGTTCAACAGACAGACGGGCGACATGATCGGCGGCTGTCTCTACACTGCCAAGAAAATTGTCAAATTGCTAAAGAAATGGCCGAAATTACAACACGATCCTGCTACCTTCACCGTAGACGTCTTGATTCATACGGTAAATCAAAAAAAAATACTTTTTTTTCATAGATAAGAAAATCTGAATTTACTTTACATGCTACATACTTCAAATACAATTGAACCGTAAAACAAAGAATAAATGTAAACTGTATTTATTCATTGATCTGTATAAATGGATAGGTTTTGGACATAACAGTTTTTACAACGTTCCTATAAATCCCTGTTGATATTAATGACAGTTAATTATACTTTTAAAACTAGCTTTCGCCCGCTAGTCCGTTAGCATGGAATTGAAAAAAAAAAGTGAGTAACCTATGTGTTCCTCCAGACTATCCTCTACATCTATGCCAAATTTTATCTAGACCCGTTCAGCCGTTTAGGCTACAAATTCTAACAAACATCCATCCATCTATACTATTGCATTTATAATATTAGTAAGATTTATAATTCTAATCACCTCCGCATGTAATCGTCAACGCCAAGATGGCGAAAATCAAATTATCCTAAATCACGACTAAATATTTTAAAAATTGCTATTATATTGTAAATTCTATTTCGCATTAAAAATTAATTAATTCCTTAGAGAACATCGACGCTTCTAACCATAAGCGGGATTTTAAAAATAACAACAGACAGTTTAGCTGACGAAGAACATATGGTAGCGTTCACTAAGACAGTGGTGCTGCATACGACTGATGGACTGGAATACAAGATATGTAACGACATGTTGCACTGGCAGCTGCCCTCGGAGGAATCGCTAAAGGTTGCATTCACCAAGACAGCGGTGAGTCCAATCTTTTTTTCTTTACTTACTGCTCGCGACTTCCACATGGCAAGTAGCAAAAAGTAATAAAAAACAGTATGATTTAGTGGTGAATTTTTTTTTAAATCGTCCAAGTTTTTGATTTTTTTCTATACAATACAAAAATACAAATATTATATTATTACTAATTAGCTGTTCCTGTGCGGCTTCCTCCGCATATTATGCAAATTTTATTTGATTCTTTTTGCAAATGTCAGAATTGAAATTAAATGAGAATGGTCTTTGCCATTGGCTACCAATTACCGTTACCAGCAATATTTCTTCTTTGCTATTGGCTTGTAGTTTTTATCCCTTTCTAACATGTCAATTTTTATCAATTTCTTAACCCCTAAATTTAATAACGTGAAAACATATAGCGTATCGTAAGTATAGCGCTTTATGTAAAAAAAGGATTATTCAAAAATATACTACGCTTGCTTGCTAACATAATACGTAAGAATAAAGTGTGTTTACACTTTGTTAGTATGAAAGTGTTCAATTCTGCATTAGACGCCGTGCAGAATACACTTTTAGATGCAATGCAGCTTTGTTAACAGGTAAGTATGGATTAGATCAGACCGGGCTTCTAATTTGAACATCTTTATATTTTAACTCAAAACTTGGATTTAATATTTCTAATATTATAAATGCGAAAGTTTAGATGGATGCATGTTTGTTAGCCTTAACGGTTGAACAAATCTCGATGAAATTTGGCATAGACAAAGGATAATCTGGAAGAACACATAGGCTACTCACTTTTGTTTTTTATCAATTCCACGCGGATGAAGTCGCGGGCGAAAGCTAGTTATGAATGATTCCTTGTGTTTGGAAAATAATCTATGCTTAAAAACTTTTATCATCGCAATTGTTCAGTCTGTGGTAATGTTGACATCACTGCTTTGTTTCGTGTAAATTTAAACTGACGTACTACTGAACAACATTCGCTTGGCTTCATTGTTTGTAAACTACTAAAGCCAAGACAATCATAAACTATGCATTAAATCTCTGCATGCTTTATAATGACAGAGTTATCGACTTATGAAATTGCACGAAAAGTTCAATTTAAATTTTTTATAAGCACTTTCACTGTTAAAATATTTTTTAAAAAGGAAGACGGTAAGCTGCTAAACTAAATTGAACTATAAAAAGGCTTACATTTAAAAGTAAATTTTGAATGCAGTTGCTATAGTCTTTGTAATGTACTTTATTATTTACATATTAGGTTTATAAATCTTATTATATTTGAGAAAAGCAATAAACAGTAATAAAAACCATGTTCAAAAATAATATTTTTATTTTTTATTCCACTGGATTATAAGTGCAGTAATTTATAAATTACTTTATGACATTAACTACCAATCAAATATAATCACACATTTGCATATGCAAAATATCGAAAACAATTATAATACACCAATAATTAGTATGAAATAGAGAATTTTACATAGAAAAATACTGTAATCTACAATCAAGAAACATTTGAAATTATATGTAAACAGAATTATTTTGCATGACTATCAGGAATGTAACATGTATGAAAGTTCAATTTAACAGATCTAAACAACAGAAAATAGCTTAAATGAACACTTGGCACTATTACTTATGCTTAAATTGTAAGATTCAATATAAATAGAAATGAACTAAAATTGAATGATTCTCACACTGTATCCATTGACTCCTCGTTTGTGGGCTCCGTCTCCATTTCCATTTCCTTTTCATCAATCCCTGAATACTTTAATCGCAATTTTTCATAATGTATTTGCTCTTTTACTGATACTGAAGGTTTACATTTAGTAAGAGCGGCTTGGAAATCTTCAAATGTAACAAAAATGTCATCATCTAAAGTACCATTAGAAATATGCGTTGTTAAAGCATTTGTAGCGGCCGATCTAACTAAGCCGGATAAATCTGCACCTGTGTATCCTTCTGTCATCTCTGCAATAACTTGTAATATTTGTACATCAGGTGCTAATTGTGGTCTAGTACCTTCTTTCGTTAACTTCCTTAGAATATCATATCTATCTTCTCTAGCTGGCATACCAACGTACATAACGCGGTCCAAACGGCCAGGTCGTAATACCGCTGGGTCTATGATATCTGGTCTATTTGACGCCGCCAAAACGAATACCCCTTCACGGCTTTCGATACCATCCATTTCTGTCAACAACTGGTTTACAACTCTTGCTGCTCCATTGTGGTCCTGTGATGTACGTCTAGGGCATAACGCGTCAAACTCGTCGAAGAATATTACACACGGTGCAGAGTTTCTTGCTCGTCTGAAACACGTCCGAACAGCCCGTTCACTCTCACCCACATACATGTTCAATAGTTCGGGACCTTTAACAGATATAAAGTTCACTCCCGCCTCATTTGCAACGGCTTTAGCCAATAATGTTTTACCGCAGCCAGGTGGTCCACAAAGTAGAACACCACTGGGTGCTGATAAGCCAAGCTTCTTCAATTGCTCAGGATACTTCACTGGTGCTAAAACTGCCATCTGCAAATCCTTGCGTACTTGATTTAATGAGCCAACATCATCCCAAGTAACATCTGGCACAGTAACTATACCTTCCCGGACAGCACAAGGTTTTGTTGTTTTTAAGGCTCTTGTAAAGTCTTCATGTCTTATAGAAAGTCCTACCAATTGTTCAGGAGTGTAAGGCATGCTATTTTCAAGGAGGCTCAAAACATCATTAAATGGATTATTTGAGAGTTCTTTTTCATCAACAGCATCTGGACTTGTTTCAAAGATATTTACAGGTTCAGGAGGGTTTTCTACTAATGGTACTTCTGATTCATCCTTTTGGAGATTTTCACCTTCTTGAGGACTATCTCCATTCTTTTCTTCATTCAGCACAGGCTCTTCATTAGCTTGGTCTCCATTTGGAATATTATTGACATTATCTTTCAGTTCAGTTTCTTCCTGAGGTATTATGACATGTTGTGACTTTGTCTTGTTTTGAATTTCTTTAAAAATCCTCTTAATTGCATATGTGCTAGCTTTATTGACAAGAGCTTGTAAATCAGCCCCAACAAAACCTGGAGTAATTTGTGCCAGCACATTCATATTCACATCTTCATACAAAGCTAAATTTTTACATAAAATCTCCAAAATTTCCTTCCTCGCTTTTAAGGATGGAATACCTAAAGTTATTTCTTGTTCAAGACGACCTGCCCTTCTTAAAGCAGGATCTAATGCATCAGGGTTGTTTGTAGCAGCAAGTATTAATATAGAGGTGTTATTTTCACTAAGACTGTCCAAACTAGCCAATAATTGTGCTACCATTCTCTTCTCCATGTCTTTTTGAGCATGTATTCTATTACCACACACTGCATCTATTTCATCAATAAATAAAATACATGGTGCTACCGACACTGCCCTCTCAAATAGTTCACGTATTCGCTCCTCTGACTCTCCAGATACACCTCCAACTAATTCAGTACCAGTGACTGCAATTAATGGCAACTGCAGTTTACCAGCAATAGCATTTGCTAACAATGTTTTTCCTGTGCCAGGAGGTCCATGTAACAAAGCTCCTCTTGGTGCCTTTATACCCAACTCTTTGTACACTTCTGGATGTTTCATGTGCAATATCAAGTCACAAATCTGTGTGATAATGTCAGATAAACCACCAATATCTTCGAAACTAATCTTTACGTTTTTAGCTTCACCTATATCGATTTTTTTCTTTGCTATGGGATTTTTATTTGTGTCAGCCTTCCGTTTTTTTTCAACTGGATGCTGAGTATTTAATTGTTTATTGGTATTTTCTGTCGACGTGTTCGTAATACGCGCAACCGCGTTTGCCACATTTATATGCGGGGTTATAGTAATTTGATCGCTAATTTTTGGTAATTTCGGTGCCGCACTGCCGTCTTCATCACTGCTTAGAATATCTATAGGCTCGCCCGATTTATCTGTAGCTCTGCGGGAGGTCGCCGGCCGCTTTTTGTCTTGCATCTTGTACATTGCTAATATCCGATTGTTGAGTGCACTGTTGTTTTCATCTAATAATTCTATGTCAGATTCCTCTTCCGAACCTTCCGAAGTTGTCGCGCCGTCCAAACCGTAACTCTGTAAAACCACCTTGTAAGCACTTTCGACCATCTGACAGAATGCGTTATCGCTTCTATTGGTGTATTCACGATATCGCTCTTTTAGAGAACGCGCCATTTGGCTGACATCGACGAACGTTTTATCCACATTTTCTGCTAAATAATTTTTCACTCGTGACACAATTATGGGGTCGTTTAGTGTTTTTTGTTTAGTTTGATGTTTCTTCATATTTTACACGTGAAACTATTATTATTTTGGGTATTTTCTTAATTATTTCGACTGTCTTCGTCGTAACTCGTAATGTTTGACAGCGGCGTTGCCGAATCAATGGAATAGGAAATTGTTGCCACTATAAAATTAATACAATGTCGCGTTCATCTTACACATTACGTATTTTAAAATAACGAAATTATGAAATAAAATTAATATTGTACTAAATAGATTGTCTTGTTTGAATGGTGATTCTAATAAAAGCGTTTTTTTTCTATTTCAGGTATGTTTACCAAAGAGAATTTTAAGTGTAAGTTTGGAAACTCCGCCCGATACAAATATGAAGGATCATCTTGTGAAGATTTTTATGAATTTAACCGAATTGGATAAACAACAAAGTGAAAGGTAAAACATGTCGTGTTTCGAACTTACATAATATATATAGGGATAAAATAAACAGTATTTGTACCTTTTGTTTCAGGTACCTGGAGGAGAAACACTGGAATATCAAAGATGCTTTGCAATTCTTTACTGAGATAGCCAAATTAAACCCAGCTAACATAAAATCATCTTCTAGTGAGTTGATCATATAAGAAAAGAAGTATTTTGTGTAGTTTAATTTAATGTACTCATTTTAAAAGTAAAGGGTTAATTTAATTAAATCTTTAACAAAGATGCCCTTTCTATAATTTCTAAAGAAAGTTTTAAAAAAAGAGGATCTTTTCTTTCGTCTAATTTGACAAAGATCCTTCTCAGAAGTTATTTTTAAAATTTTATGTCCTCTAATGTACTGTCACATTGGTATACCATTTTCTTTAAATATAAGCCATAAACAATTGAATGAAAGTTGTGTTTTATTTTCCCCTGGATCAGCCACTACACCTATACCAGATTTCAAAGAGATGCATTGAGCCGCTCAGAAGTAATAATCTTGCATCCGTCCATTTAAAATTTCGCATTTATTACATTAAGTAATGTAAGGACATTCACAGATGTTAAATCAAAGAATATTTCATTTTAAAAATTTTATTGATAAAATATTACAAATGAAGTGTTTAGACAATCATTTCTAGATGTCTTGCGTACTCTATGGTCTGTTCAGCGAGCTCGGCGGAGGGCAGCACGCCGGCGGCGGCAGCGCTCGCCTCGTCCGCCGCGTTGAAGTGATAGCAGTTGTCCGCACCAAGCACCCAGTTACGCTAACGAAAAAAAGAATTCAAGTCATTTTTTTTTAATATTCATTTTAATTTTGTACAGATTTATAAGCAACAGTATACTATAAGTCTTGCTGCCCGCGACTTCGTACGCGCAGTATTAAAAAACTACGAACACTTTGAAAACATGATGTTTATCAGGGATGAACCTTATCCCCAACTTTGTTTTACATCTGCACCTTATTTTAAAAAGATACATTGATCCGATGCAGAATTATTGAGTTAATATGATAAAACAGGATTAATGTAATTCATACAAATTTCATCTAGATCCATTCAGTTGTTACATTAACATCCATGTTATGTTAACATCCAAGCATTCATCCAAACTTACACATTTACATTAGTAAGATGTGTAAAATTTACCTTCTTCCCATATTCATGAACAGCAACTTGTGAAGGAAGGTTGAGTCTCCGCGCTGCTTCTCCACATGGGATGCTGAGGTATGCCTTCTCAATGCAGGCTGCAATCTCCCCACGCACTGTCTCTAGCAGACTGTCCATGAACAATGTGTAACTTTCTGCTGGTACATTACCCTGGAAAATTCACTTTATTTACTTACATTTCTTTTATATTTATTGAAATAATATCAAGAATAGTATTAGGAAATGTTTAAACTAGAGTTTGAAAAAATTAAAAACAATAACTGTAAAAATTTGCTATAAATACTTTCTTATATCATTTGTGGAGGTAGTTTTTTTTTGCATTTCTGTTACTAAGAAAGCAGTACTGAAATAAGCAAGTTCAGTTCAATAAGCATCTATAACACAATGTGGAAAATACCTACATGAACAGATTAAATATAAAATACCTACCTTTGCTAAAAAGATTTTATTATAGCTTCCTTCCATCAGATACTGTTCCAATGCTAATGGATGTCTCACATAAGGATCTGCTCGGATCACATCCACTGGGAGACGTTCTAGCTCTGTGTGGAACTCCGCAACTCGGTTTTGTGCCAACAAAAACAACAGGTTAAGACCAAGCAGCTGGTACATAAATGCTGATTCTGGCAGGTGGTCTCTGTAAAACAAGTTATATGTGAAATATTAACTATATGTAAAATTATAAAGTTCAAAGTGCCTTAATTCAATTGCTATTTTATCAGTGTCTGTAGCTCTCTTACTAATTACTAACATTACTAATATTGTAAAGGCGAATGCTTAGATGATTGATGGACTTATTGGTTTGTAGACTAAACTGCTGAATAGATCTTGATGAAATCTGGCATAAACATAGAGCTTGGGCCCCTTCCCGGGGTGGTAGTGGGGCATCGCGGTGGCAAGCGCAAGCGATCCCGTGGCGTCCCACACAATGGCCAGGATGGAAGGAAGGGGTTTAGTGAGGTGTGCCCCCCCCTATGGGGGGAGAGTCCCACATAACTCACGTGTCTGCCCAGAGGCATGGAGTATGCGTAATGCATTCCCCTTCGAGAAAAAAAATGTAGAGCTAGCATAAACATAGGTGGGTAGTACATAGTTAAATTGTTTTTTATAACCCTGTCATTTAAGTTATTGTTGCCTAATTAGTTATTTATAAGTAGTTTTACTTGTAAGAAAAAGGCAATTTTAGTGGAACACCGCGACTGTACTTACTTGTAATCAAAGTAATAACATTTCAACTGTGACATATATCTTTCAAACGCTTTTACATCTTTGCTAGCGACTGCCCATTGTGCACCAATTTCAAGCACATCTCTCGCAAGAATTAATTCTTTCTGATTAGCCGCTGCGTTGTTACTCGGGAGAAAACTCAGCTGTGTTAATGCCACCTGTGATATAACTTTTCAGTCAGTATTTGCCTTAGTAAAACATTCAATTTTTTTTGAATAAACAAAGCATTTCGAATCTAGGTTATGAATTTTAAATGAGAAGAAAATCAAATGTTAGAGTATATCTAATTTAATTTTATAAAATCGACGAACAATCGAAGAAAATAACTATTTAAATTAATAAAACAAACATTTTGACAAGTCATCTTACCTTTATTTTGTTTAACAACTCTCCGCACTTATCGAGTTTCCTTGGTTTTTTAGACCATTCTGTTTTAAGATTTTGGTACAACGAAGCTACATCTTTAAGAGAAGCCATTTGGAAAATTCAATCTAACAATGTTTTAAAACAGAGAAAAATCTCAATTCAATATTTTTTGACACTTTAATTTTTGCTTGTTCAGTTTTAGTGTTACCATTAAAAGTCAGATCTAAAATTAAATAACATTTTTCATTAACAGATCAAAATCTTTGTAGATCTTAGTTTGTTCAAGTTTGTTGTTTGTTTGTTTGTTAGATTTTAGTATTTTCTCTTTGTATTAGAATTAGTTAAAACACCACGTTAAGATTTAGAAACGTGGTATTGTATGAAAAAATTAAATTTCGTTTCATGGACAATCCACTTCCAATAAGAAGTTTTTATTATCAAAGATTAAAGAGTAGTGATGGGACTCGATTGATTTTTTTTTCACTCGAGTCACTCGGTACTCGTAACTTTCTCACTCGAATGCCACTCGAGTGAAGGTAAGACTCGAGTGATGTTTATAGACGCGAGTCACTCGGAATATAAAAATCGAGGAACCAAAATTTTCAAACCAATAAAACAATGTTAATTAAACATAAAGAAATTATTTTCGCATTAACGTAAAAGTTACTCAAAAAATCTGTACAAAATGTGTAAAAATAGTGTTTTCCTTTAAACTAAACCTGTCTACATAATAAAGAAACCTCTTATATCATCTATTAGTTGAAATTTTATAGTGTACTATAAATAAGTTCAAATCCATTTTAATAAATTCTTACAAGTAATTTTCATGAGATCCAAATATTTTGATTTTGTTGAGTTTGATTATGTTCTTACACAATTTTGATAATAATCATGCTTTAAAATTTTAAAGTTAAGTTAAGTAAAGTTAATTAACTTAAACAAAGCTTAAATAAACTCTATAAAAGAACAGAAATAGTGTGTTTTTAAAAAGATAACAAATTTAACTGAAAATGCTGTAAAAATTTCTTACTCCGCTTAGTATAAACCAACAAAATGGTTACGAGTCACTCGTAATTCGAGTCAACTCGAGTCACTCGAAACTCGGGTTGTCAAAAATTTCACTCGAGTCCGAGTAAGAAAAAAATGACTCGAGTCACTCGAGTAAAAAGCAACTCGAGTCCCATCACTATTAAAGAGTAATGTCAAAATTTTCATAGGGCCTGGATTTAATACTTATTGTCGTAATTATTTAAATTATGGGATGAACAGTTTTATTAAACAATTTCTGTAATTTCTACGAAAAAGGTTTTAGTTAGCAGTGAGATAAAATATGGTATAAAATGTCTTCACCGTCTGCTATAGTGTGCCGTGAAATATTCGATGAAAATAGTCAACCGTCGGCCGATGGTTTGTATTGTTTGTTTTTTAATATTTTTTTGAGAATTAAATTAAAGAACATGTAAAATCATGATTACACTCTTTATTTGTTTATTTTTATCTGATCTGGTTTAATAAATTTGTCGCTTTTACCAAATGTAATTAAAGAAAATCAAACATATTTTATGTATCAGAAAACGTAATATTTATATATATAGTGTTGTATTTTGATCTAATACAATACAAGCAGCTTAAGTATTCTAATATTTCTATTAATTGAATTCAATATTTTATTACAGAAATATCAGAATATGCTCAACAATTGGGTATTGATCCAGAAAGTGAGAGCCATCTCTTGCCATTGGCCCGGGAAGGTCTTATGCAAGCTCTACCACCTCCCTGGAAGGCATAGTTAGTGAAGTTTTATATGTTTTTTATTAACCCATGAATTAACATAATTGTAAATTTTTATAATGGTTATTACGGAGTATTTTATTTATTGAAATTATTAACAATTTTGCTGTGGTAGTTAAGAGTTAACTTTCATAATTTTACTCATTAGTATTACATTGTCATTCTCATTGTTAATTGTAAGCTAGAGCTATAAATATTGTTTAGACATTATTCAGTAACAATTTATCTTATTTTGGTGTACAATTTGTTACACCATTGTAATAGAATCTCAAAAATACTAATCATCATCCACTTGCCCTTATCCCTTATGGAGGGTCGGCACAGTATGTGCTGCTCTTCCTTACATCTCTATCAGCCGTCTTATCTGAATCCACTCCTTTCTTAAGCATATCCTCTTTCACACAATCCATCCATACTTTCTTCGGTGTTCCTCTTCCTTTGTAGCCATCCACATTCAATCTTAACACTTTCTGGTTTATGTCCCCATCATTTCATCACATAACATGTACAATCTCAAAAATACTAACTCGGAAACAAAATCTATTACATTATTTTCTTAACACATTTAATGCCACATAGACCTAATTTTATTACATGGTGTGTAGTTGGCATTAAATGTGTTAATTAAGAATTCAAATATATGAAATATTTCATATTTATTATGATTAACTTTTTTGATTTACAGTTTTGATGAAAAACTCCAAACTCACTACTATTATAATGAAGAAACGAAAAATACGCAATGGGAACATCCTCTAGATACAGTTTATAGAGACCTGGTGAAGAAAGCAAGAGATGCCTCTATGCATGATGACACTTGTGCTTCTGTGCAGGTTAGTAAGAAGATAAGGGTTGCCAAAATATGCCACAACTGGCATATTTCCAGTCGCTTTTATACATTTTATATGTACTTGCTGTACATCCTAAGAGTTTTTATTTTAAATTTATCAGTTAAGGAAATAGGATTTTGATTCCGAATTTAATAGATTTAAAGCATGAATTTAAATACAAAGTTTAAATGTCACATTCAGCACTAGTTGCTTATAGTCCATTTCATGTATTAAATACACTAAGAACTTTGGTACACATACAACTCTCAGACAAAATTTAGAGGCAAGTATTATATTTATTCATACCCATGTGTAAAAATTCGTATATTTAATTTTAATTATAGGAACTACCAACTTCCGAGGATAATACAAAAAATCTAGAGCGTGTTGAAACGAAAGTCGAAAGTGATGATGACGACCTATCAACTGACAGCGAAAATCATCCGTCTGATGTGAAAGATGTTGTGAACGCCCAAAGACGTTTGACCCCACTCGGACGTCCTCCTCTAGCCCCACTATCAAGACTAGACAAGAAATTAAGCGATTTAAGAATATCACCCTTAAGACGTAGTGTTGATGGTCCAGTTTCCCCCAAGCCGGCGTTAGTTAGGAATACCTCAGATAGAGATCTGTTAAGTCGACCGACTTTTGAAAGGCCAAAAATGCTGTTCAAGCAACAATCGGAGATCATCGACCTCAAGATGCATGTACTAAGTAGTCCAGAAGAGGAAAACTTCAGCCCTCTATTATCAACTGCTAAAATAGATAAAGGATTGCCATTTTCAGGTAATCTTACTAATGTAAATGGGAAAGATTGAATGGATGGATGTTTTTTCCTACATGTCTCCAGAGCTAGTTAACGGATTTTGATTTCTTTTGGCATAGATGTAGGATATAATCTGGAAGAACACAAAGGCTACTTGTTAAGTTTTTTTTTTAATCTTAATAAATGGCATCACACATAAAATCCAGTATGTAATATGAAAATTGTTTAAGAGTTATGTTCTGATATTGCCCTTTTTAACTCTTTATTTATTTATTTATTTATTTATTTATTTACACTTTATACACAAGGATAACAATCACAAAAAAAATACATATTGAGCGTTGGTTGTACAGGCGAGCATAACTCTAATAGAGTTTTCTTACTGCTAACCGTTAATATAAATAGCTTTTATATAATATATATGTGTATTTTTTTAGGTAAAGGCAATATGTTTATGAGACTTTGTAAATCAGATTTGCCAAGTCCAGATACAGAGAAGTCGTTGCCGGGTGATTCTGTAACTAAAAGCGACCCACCAAAAGGTATTCTTAGAGAAAAATCTGATTCCTTCCAAAGGAAACATGAGAGTGCTATCCTGGGAAGACCGAAACAGACTTATAGTTTTGATGAAGACAAGAAAAGTGTCAGGTAATTGTATAATCACACTTATTGACTTATATCTACACTAATATTATGGAGGAAAGATTTATATTTTTATTGAAATAATTAGAAAAATACTGGCAGATTACAAAAAATGTTTTACCATTAAAAACTATGTTATCTCTGAGTGACATTGACTAAAGTTTTTAATTCCACGTGGATGCAGTTGCGAGGAACAGCTAATACTTACTAATCTTACCAATATTATAAATGCTAAGTTAAAATGGATGGATGCATGTTAAAATTTACAGTATAAATAGCTGTATGGATCCCAATGAATTTTGGCATAGATGTAGAGATAGATGTAATTACAATGTCGTTTTCAGATTCAAATTAGAAAACGTTCCAGAACCTACCATTAGTCCGGGATCTAACAGTTCATCAGATCAAAATGAAGGACAAAGTTCAATAATAAGTGCTCCACCCATTTCCATACCATCAACACTTGGACCCTTATCACCTATCATACCTTCATCACCTATTGTACCTTCCCCTGTCGTGTCCTCCCCTGTACCAGTATCACCAAGTCCAAACCCTGTGCCTTTATTGAATACTGTTCATCTATCACCTTTAGTAGCCAGACCTCCTTTGCCACCGAGACCACATATTACAGAAAGTCCAAGAGAACCCAAAAGTAGCTCGGAAAAAGATTCATTTGGTAAGTTCTGTGTTATAAATTGTTAAATGTTTAACTTTTTTACTAATACTATTTGAAAGTGGATGTATGGATGTTTTTCTTGAATTATCTGGATGTAATTTAGAAATCGTAGTTTACATGAAATAGTTCTCAGTACTCAATTTTTTTTTCACAGTAGACCAAAATTGACCAATCAATAGTAAACTAAAGTAATCTGTCAGAGTCATATAATTTTTAATTAATTGCATTTACAGATGGTGATATGCGGGAAAAATCACCAAGAAGACGTATTTTGAAACCATCGCCGTCAGATTACATTAAGCCGGATTTATTTCAAAAGAACTTCCAGAAGATATCTGATCTGGTCCGTAGAGATGGGGATTCTACTCCTGTCAGTATTGAGGAACCGTCTTCTGATAAGGAGGGTAGACCGAGGTAAGTTGAAAAGGGAAAAAAAATATTAGAATAAAAAATTACAAACTAAGAAATGTTACAAAATAAAATAAACATCCAAATATTACGCCTATTGGCAATTATGTTGATATTTGGTTTTGAAAATCTAACAATAGAAAAATGTTTCAATTGAAGTGTTAACTATGTCTCCTCTATGTGTTTTTGCTTGAAATGTACCTTTTTAATTAAATTTTGCACTGTTTCGTAAGATGTAAAAAAATTAATTTGTATTAAAATGTCTCCACAGATCACCTATGATACCACAGAAAAATAAAATATCCATAAACCTAATGGAAAGCATAGATTCAGAAACATCAATCGATTCTCCCGATAGAGAATTCGCTAATATCGATCTTAACGATCTAGATGATTCGAACGAAATCCACGAAAGTCAAAAGAAAGATAAACTCGATATTGATAATGAAAAAAGTCCCAAAGAAAGTGAGGATTCCATACAAAATCATTGCAAATCCTCAGAACCTAGTCCGATCAGACCTCAGAGAATTTCAGACATGCCAATCCCACAAATAAAAGTGCCTAAATTAGATTTCCTGTCTAAACAAACTAAATTCACGCATTCCGATTCAGAAGATTCTAGAAAATCTTCCAATAGAGAAGATGTTAAAACAACACCTAGATCTAACAGCATTGATATACCTAAAGATATGAAAACTCAAATTAAATTATCTCCTACACCTAGTTTAGGTTCTGATAGACCTAGGTTAGATTTTAGTAAAACTTTTTCACCACTTTCGACTTTCAAACCTTTAAAATTGAATGCAAATAAATCATCAGATTCTGTAAATCTAGGTAAAACAAGTCCTAGATTAGACGGAGTTATAATATCTCAAGGAAAAAGTAGTTCAGATAATGTTGTTGTTGTCTACCAATTTGAAACTCAGGAAGAAAGTTGTCCGAAACCAATTAAATCTCCTTTAGTACCTGATATGGGTACGAGAGATTTTATCGAAAGAAATAAAAACGATGAAAAGAGAAGATTGGAGTTATCAATGCAAAAAGAGTTGGAGATAATAAGAATGGAGTGGTCCGCTAAAGAGAAGAAAATGAGGGCAGAGTTACAAGAAGAGATAAAGGAAGCGGAACAGAAGTTTTTGACTGAAAAGAGAGTAAGACTTAATGAACAGGCTGATCGACATAAAAAGGACATGGAAGAGGTAAAGTCTTCTCAAATAAGTAACAATAGAAAAAATAAGTAACTCTTATAAATACTTAAATAGCTCTTCTCTCTAATTTCAAGTTATTATTATTTATTTCATCTATTTTATACCAATATAATAAAGTGTAAACACACACTTCTTTGTTATGTAGGATGTCAGCAATCACAGCATATCTTTGAATAATTATTTTTTAAACAGAAAACCCTACATTTGAAACAGGTTATAGGCTATATATTTTCACCCCTGTTAAATTTAGAGGGTGAATAAATTAGAAAAATTATAACGTGAGAAAGAGACAAAAGCTATAACCCAATAGAAGCAAGACTATGGTAACGGCAATTGTTAGCTAATAGCAAAAGCCTTTATTGTAATTTAATATGTCCTTTAGTAACGATTGTAGCTTTTTAATTTTATATTTTACTGTATTTATTCAGTAGTAGCTTTCGCCCGCGACTCTGTCCGCGTGGAATTAAAAAACAAAAGTAATTAACCTTTGTGCCTTTACATCTATACCAAATTTCTTCGAAATCATTTAACCATTTAGGCTGCAAGCTCTAATAAACATCCATCCATCTAAACTTTCGCATTTATAATGTTAATAAGATTTTAATGTATTTCCAGGCGTTATCTTCAGCTGAACGTAATCACCAGCAAAAGTTAGAGGAATCACTCAAAGAGTTAGAGAGAAGACATGAGAATGAAGTGACGTCAGCGGAGAGACAGCACTTGGACAACATGGCGCGGCTGCGGGAAGAATATAAGATTAAATTAGCTGATGAAACTGAGAGTTTGGAAATTGGTAAGTCTTTTGAAAACATTCGTAAATAATTATTCTAAGGCACTTCTACATTTTTGACCGAAGGAGGTACTCAAGTCGTCTGTATGTTTTTTTTTTATTTTTTTTGTTTTCTGTTATCTATGATTTGGTATCTGTAAATTATAGATTATTATTAATTTTGGATTACAGGGTAATGTTATTTGTAAAGACTAACTGTTGCTCGCAACTTTGCGTGAAATAATAAAAATATAAAGCATAGCCTATGTTACTCATTGATATCGTAGCTTCTTAATGATGATTTTTTTTTTAAATCGGCCCAATAGTTTTTGAATTAAATCATTACATACAAAAATACAAATCTTTCTGGTATTAGTATAGATAATTGAAATATTAGCAATTATACTTGATGAACTTATCTGGCTTGGTGATTAACTCTGTTAGAAAATGTAAAAGCCTTCTTGTTTCTGACACACAAGTTAAGGAAACTACAATATGACTACAATCTATTGAAACTATACCATAACTTTTTATACACCAGTTCAAATAAACATGACTACACTATTTCTATAGATAAAGCGTATTTTTTATACTTACACTAGCTGTCTCCCGCGACTCTGTTCGTGTGGAATAAAAAGAAACAAAAATGAGTAGCCTAAGTGTTCTTCCAAACTATTCTCTACATATATACAGTAGAACCTTAATAAGTTAAAGTCCAAAGGACACACGAAATATTTTAAGTTATAGAGGTTTTAAGTTGTCAAGGGTCTTTGTTGTAGAGGCTTTGGTCTCTGATGGGCAGGGAACATATTATTTTTTGAAGTTATAGAGGGTTTTAAGCCACCGAGGTTTGAGGTACCAAATTTCATCGAGATCCTTTTAGCCGTTTTGGCTACAAACTCGTAACAAACATCCATCCATCCAAATGTTCACATTTATAATATAAGTATGATTTGTTTTAATTTACTTAATAGATAATGAACGAGCACTCTGTGAAGTTAGAGAACAGTTACAAATGAATCTGAACAGAGAGAGAACGCGGATGATAGAAGAGAACAGAGCTACTATAGAAACTCTGCGAGAAGAACATACGACAAGAATTACTGAACTAAGGCATGACTATCGAGCTGAGGTAAATATTTTTATAATATTTTTACTAGCTGTTCCCGTGCGGCTTAATCCGCGTGAAATTATAAAATCTTTATTTTATTGTGTACATTTGTCAAATTCTAAATTGCAAGTATCAAAATTACAGTTATCATAGTAACCTTGCCTCCTTAATGTTGGCAGCTTGTAGTTTATGGTCGCTGCCCATAAACATTCGCAACGCATCTGCAATTGCGAATGTTTATGGGCAGCGGTCGCTTTCCATTTCAGTGGATTCAGGTGGTCTCTTGCTCGTTTGCCACTTAATGTTATAAAAAAAAGCCTTACAAATAAAGGGATCGACTGAGTATTCCTAAGTTTAATATATCGCGTTTATTTGTAAGGCTGTTAATGGTCTTCTGAATGGATAGAATGTGTTACAATACAACAGGTGGATAGGCTACGGTCGCAGCACGCGTGCCACGTGGAGGAGTTGCGTGCGCGGCTGGCGGGCGAGCGCGCGGCCGCCCGCGCCGCGCCGCACGACCGCGACCGCGACCGCGCGCTGCACGACAAGTACCGCTGCCTCAAGGAGAAGTACGCACGACTCAAACATGACGTCAAGGTGATTATTTGCGACACTCGCGGATAAATTACCTTTCTAACGGTGAAGGAATTTTTAAAATCGCCCCAGTAGTTTTTGAGTTATTTCAGTACGTACAAAAATAAAAATCTTTCCTTTTTATAATATTTGTATAGATAGCTGTTGAGACTAACTTCGCGTCAAATTAAAAGATAAAAAAATGCTATGTTACTCACGGATAATTTACCCTTCTAACGGTAAAGGAATTTTTAAAATCGGCCCAGTAGTTTTTGAGTTATTTCAATACGTACAAAAATAAAAAATCTTTCCTTTTTATAATATTAGTTTAGACTAGCTGTTGTTCACGACTTGGTCCTCGTCAAATTAAAAAATAAAGAATTTATATTTTACTCGCAAATAAGTTACCTTTATAACGTTGAAGGAATTTTTAATATCGGCGCAGTACTTTTTGACTTATTTCAATACATACAAAATTACAAATCTTTATTCTTTTTATGAATTGTATAGATTAAATAAGAAAATAGAAGTATTATTATAGTAAATATAGTCATAAGTCATAAAAGTTCACTTTTTAGTTTAGATCGATGAATGTTTGTTAGAGTTTGTAACTTAAACGGCTGAAGGAATTTCTATGAAATAGTATAGATGTGAATAGTGTGGAAGAACACGGACTACTCACTTTTGTTTTTATTCCATGCGCACGGATCCGTTGACGAAAGCTTGTATGAATATATTTTATTTATAGTTCGTTCTCTATTTCCAGATGTCGATAGAACGTCGCAACAAGCGCCGTGAGATGAGCATGACTACCGGCTCTGAAACTGAGAAATCTAACTCGCACAAAGCAACGCAGTCTATTGACAAGTAAGATTATTCATTTCAAAACTTTATTTGTTGTATTCTAGCACTATAGTTCTACAAAGATCGTATGTCAGTTGATTTGTGAACTTGTGATTTTGAATGCGTCATATTTAGATTTTTGACTAATGAAGGAATGGCCGTGACATGACATGATTATGCTAACTTATTTATTACTAGCAGTTCCCGAGCGGCCGTATCCCCGTGGAATTAGAAAAACTTTATTTTATTATACATTTGTCAAACTGTCAATTGCAAATTACCGTTACCGTAATAAACTTTTTTCCTTAATGTTGGCAGCTTGTAGTTTATGGTCCCTTTCCCACATGAAGGTTTTTTTTGTATTAATTTACCACCTTAGTTTAATAGCATAAAACTATATAGGTTAAAGCGTGTCATAAGTGTAGAGATTTTTATTGAAGAAAGAATTATTCAAAAATATGCTGTGATTGCTGACATCCTAACCTATATTAGTATAAAGTAATATATATTATTGTTAATTCTGAACAAAAAAGTCTAGCAGTCTAACAAATAAAAGCGGTATAAAGTTAAACTTAGGAATAAACTGAGTATAAGCAAAATTTGTAATATTTGTTCCTAAGTTTAATTTTATACCGCGTTTATTAATAAGGCTGTAAAGCTTATATCCTTTTTGCTTGGATCCTAGACATGGAACAATTATAACGAGCACGCAAGTCATAAGTTGCAAATAATTTATATATGGTTTAGTTTTTATTTCTAAAAAAGTTCGGAATTTTTTACCTTCTGGTAACTCCAAAAACTAGTAATCGCTCTGTCAAATTTTAAAAAATACCATAAGATTGTCGACTGTGTTCTGTTCAGATGTAAAGAGGCGAATGAGAAGAGTGCGATGGAGGCGGAGCCGCGCGCGCGACGCAACAACAACGTCCGCTGCGACAACGAAACATCCGCCTCCGAGAGTCATGCGCATAAATCTGATAATAACAACGACTGCAGACTGAAAACTAATGTAAGTGTTTATTCTACAAATATTCTCATGTGAAACTTCAGCCTTTAATGTTATAAAGTCCCAACATTTATTCTAAAAGGTTTTATAGGAAAGTCTATATGTAATGTCAAAAATAAATACTCGCAAGTTCGTATGTTGGAAATGTGACGAAACTTTGACTGGACAGTAGTTAATAAATATAAACGTAGTACGTACGTAAACGTAGTAGGCAATATGTTTTTATCTGTGCCGAAGTCCCGGGCGATCGCTAGTCAAATGGTTTATTACTTTACAAGTTACTGTTTATTCCACGTTCATCCTGTGCAAAAATTCCTATGTCAAAATATATTGAACCGCTTAAAACAATCCTGTGTTTTAGCTTTTAAATGTGTTGGTGGTTCAAAATATTTTTAAGGTTAACGACATGCAATAGTTGACCTTGAGCCTCCAAGTTATTTGAAATTATTATTACTATTGTTCAAGGGTGGCGAATATTTGTGTCAAAGTGCCGTTTTTTTTAAAAGAAACCTTTACGTGGTCTTAGACGTGTCATCGAATTATTTTGACTGCGATTACTACGTCATTTCCATGGTGGCATTCTAGTTGGCAAAGGAACAAGCGTCCATTTGAATCCGCCAAAATGGCGAAGTGACCGTTGCCCATATACATTCGCAATAGAGGATATGTTGCCTACCCTTAATCGACGAAGGAGGAAACGCAAATAAAGAGGATATCCTTGCTATGCGTCTCTTAAATCGTCAGATCCACGTTCCCTTCCCA